GGGTGAATGCGATTGCGGAGGCGTCGCGACGTCGCCGCGGTTATTGCCTCGGCCTGGAAAACTTCCTCGAGTTCATCCGCCGGTTTTTCCACCGAGGAAAGTCTCCGGGCTTTATCGCGGTCGCTTCTTTGATTTATCCGTGGTAAATCGTTGCCAGATCGTGTCTTAGGGTATTACAGTGGTCCTGGTGTTTATTCGAATAAATAATAATCTCAATTTTTCTGCCTTGCGACAGTATATTTATTTAATTATTGAGACACGATCGCTCGAAATGAACGCGTGACAGTTAATGTGCATCCATTTCACGTTATTGTGGACGAACGTTGTTCGAGTCATAATGTTGTTTAATTGCATCGAGTGTGGACGAAGGAACGAGTGTCGTTGAGAACTAGTTTCAACGCTATCGTAAATAATACAACACCGTTTCGTCTGTCGACGAGAATGGTAATTGGGTCGTGTGCGACGTGTTCGATGCTGTGCTAACCTATCGATCTGTACAAGCTCAAGACTGTTTTAAAGTGAGGCTACGAATAATAGATTGCTTTATTAACGCTTTTACAATTGCATGTTTTGTGAAATTTATTACTTTCACAGTTTCACGCTTTCTGTATATTTGAAGAAAATGATATTTCAGAGCTTCATTTAGTTATACTCGTAATAATTCTACATCAGAACGAAGCAATCTGTTCTTCGAATTACGGCCAACATCTTGCTCGAAGTTTACAACATCCCTTCGTTATAAAGGTGCTACTAAGAAGCAGGAACTGAGCATGACGTCCGTGACGTAAAGGACTTGTTATATAAGGTTCATAATTTCTAAATCCAACCGGCTGCCTCGTGTACCTACACAAATAAATCTTGCAACATTAAAACGTTCACCACCACAGTGAAAATGTAGATACATAGTCAGACAGGATTTTACTTCCTGTTTGAATAAGCCGAATTAATTTCACACGAGTTCAAGTTAATGCTGAACACGACCGTTTGATTGGCGTTAATTGAATCGTAGCGAAACATCCAAGCTCATTATCAATGATCAACGATCAATTACAGAGAATTAACAGATCGTTTAATTATGTTCCACGTAATTAGTCATTTATCAGATGATCGAATTCCAAAAGTTTAACTACTTTCGTCTCTGTTCGCGTTTCAACTCGAATTCGTACGTAATCGCGAAGCTCCGGTTAATTGCTGGAACGGCTGTTTAATTGCTATTTTGCTTGGGAAACAGGAAGGTCGATGGTGTCCTTGATGAATTATCCAGTAAGATATATACCGGTTACAGTGATAGCCGACGCTTCCTTTGTAGAATTACCTTCTGTGAAATTGTTCAAGAAAATGTACAGCATCGTTATCCTTTCTTACATTAAATTTTTCCTTTTAAATTCTCTTTAATTAAAATATGAAAATTCGACCCAATGTTTTCAAATTCTCTAACACCTCTGGTATTATCATAATAGTGTAAAATAGCAAATTGGAATTTTGAATTAAATCATTAATTAGCAATTAATTAATGACACAAGTTCATTTAAACTTATCATACTACACTGGTACCTATTTTCAAATAATAAGAAATTTAATCAAAAGGTCTCACTCAAAGTAAAAGAAAGGATAACGAAGCGGATATGGTTGAGGGTAGATAGAGAAAAATGTGAAGAACGTAACGCGGGGAAAAGGTTATGAGATCGTTCCACCGTACTGTCTGCTTGATATTCTTGACTGTATCCTGGCTTATGAACTCGTCCTTTTTCACGTGGAATGTCTCACAGGTGTGTACGGAACTGCAGCATTCAGATATAAGAGCAATCCTCACAAAAGTTGGAAAAAGACACACGGAGAATGAAAAGCGAACAGGGCGAGCGGATATTTGTAAATGTATTTATACAGGTGAACGAAAACAGGGAGAAGAATATGGGATAGAGAAGTTGCATTAACAAAGAAATTGTATTTGATGTTTAAATATTGAATTAAAGTAGGCGCTAGCTGTTTAGATTTGATTATTTATTCAAATAAAATGATTACAATTGACCTGACAAGAGATAACGCGTACGAATTAGATGAAGCTCGAACTCGGATATTGTGTGCTCGTCGTAACTAGGGAGCGATAAGGGAGATAGTGTCACTCGTCTAGCTAATTACTAGTTACCAACTATACGACTCTTGGGATCGAACTCATGAATGAAGCGTATGTGTACATTAGAGGGATGAACCATATATTCAGAGACCGATCTCTGTATAATACAGGAATCACTGAAACTATCATTTCAATTTATTTGTCCTGAAGAAAAACGTTTCAAACTTCTTTTTTATCAAAAGTTTTCTCTATTAGATCATAAAACTTTCAAATTCATTTGAAAGTAACTTTTATGCAGTCTATTAAGTGTCATTTTGTATTACTTTTATGTCATACCTTTTATATCCTAGTAATCCTTGATATGTCTGACTATATACGTTCTTTTCTACTGTGGCAGCCGACGCGTTAATCAAGTTAGATTATTCGTCATTTATAGTCATTCTAGTGTGTATTTTCCGCGATAGGGACAGTATGCGTATCGTTTGATGCTGACACAAATTACAGATAACCCCGAAAACCGCACACCAATAATTCCAATACGAGTGCCACACGAAAATATCGTCCGCGTGATAGGTATCGGAAATAACAGCGACCTCGTTTGCTTTTACGCCCAGAGAACATTTCTAGATGACAGATTCTACCCTCGTTTTTCTTTCATTGCTACAAATTTCGTACACTTATCAAAGCCCCTATTTTAATTACACGAGTAATGATTTGTTTAAAAACCAAGCCCACTTCAATCGAGACTAACAGTGTTTCCTTAACGCGTTCATAGCAAATATTATTACATCACGTACCCTGAACGTTATTGAATTAAATTAAATTATCCATAATGAAGCATGCTTCAAAAGCATTTCGAGTTCGTGCCTCGTAGAAAATGAGGAGCAATTTGAACGTGGTACATTAACACTAGCATAATTGGTTTTGAATGTAGCTATTAAATTGAATATGAATTAGCATATATAATTATATCTCCAATATTTCAACTCCTACGAATACAAGTATTTCGAATTAGGTAAATCAAGGAATGTTTGGTAATATGGGTGATGGATTAAAAATTCTAGTGTCACCCATCGATGGGTGACGTGGCTGTCAAAGCGTTAAAAATCATCTGCAATATTTTTCATTTACCATTGCATTCCGGTATATTGCTTTGCAGAAACCGCTGCGGTTTCCACGGAGAACGCTCGAAAACGGAAACTATTTCGTTTTTCACAGTTTTCCCGGCTCGCTGGCCGCAATTTTTCCTCTCTGGTCAACGTGACATCACCCTGGCTACGATTGGTAACTCGAGGCTCGAACAGTCTGAAGGAAACCCAGTTTAGTAGCCGTGAAAGTTTCATTGAAGGGGACGATTGGCTGAAAACAGCTTTCAGACACCAATTACCAGTCCTCCCGGCGGTGACCACTCGAGCGATAAGCGAAACTCCTGTCAGGGTTTTGCTGATGTACGAGTACCACGGATCTGCTCTCGCGAATTAGCGGATGTGCAGATAGCTGTACCGTTACCTAACACCTGGACTTCCGTTTAATCGAACGATTACGAATCTGGTATCGTAATTCGAGTTCGACGAAACTCATTCGGTTGGCAAGTGTAAAGTACGATTCAGAAATCGGACAAAGGAGGTGTCTGAACGAGGTGAAAAAGTAGAGATTAAGAAGAGGGCCAAACATCCCTTATCTTGTAAGAGTGCCAAGAGAAACTGGGGGTAGGAGATGGAACGAGGAGAACATTAAGAGATAAAAGATTCGTCGTCATGGAATTTACGACCAATTTCGTTCCAGACCATTCGAATGTTCGTCAGATATTTTGAACAATTCCTAACAATCGACTATCATGATTAAACAGTGATTAAACAGAAGTTTATTCGTCAGAATTGTGTTGGTTTAAATTTTTCGAAGGGAAAATAAACAGTTAAAATAAATATTTCCAGGTGAATCTGGATTTTAGTAAAACGTTGAACGTTCGTTTCATTAATACACTCGTATCGAACAAATTAAACTCGATTTAACAGGCGTGAGATAAAAGTTACGGGACAGTAGATTTTATTATTCCACTTTGTAATTGACGTTTTGCACAAGCACCACGTGTTTGCCCCTCTTATTTGCTGCTGCGTGGACCTGTCACATGTGTTCACACATGCCTGGAATAGCATTATGCATCTGTTCCCTGTGTACCATACAGTAATGCAACGACTGGTTGATCAATTGTTGAAAAATACGAGATATTTCGTAGAGTATTTCGAAACCTCTAGTGTTCATAGATCTTCCTGAAAGTTTTTCAAAGTCTTTTACACGATTCAACTAAACATACGGATGTCAGCTCCAACAGGATTAGAACTTTTAATGCAAAAGTTGATAAACAGTCGGACACGTGTTTGCAGTGTCAGATGAATTTTGCTAAATAAATAGAGTCGAACTAGAGTTATGCACCATGCACGAAGACCTGATTGTTTGTTTCCACTTGACATGTGTGTTTCAGTGGTGGGACGGAAGTGCACGTGCATGCAGGTCAGACGTCCGTTGCATTTGTTGCATATGCGATCCACGGTGTCGTCAGATTGCAGGAGCTTCACACGTGCAACATTCGATGCATTCTAATATTCTTACGTGAATAAACCAGGAAAATCATTTCAGAGTATTTGCAATAACGAATTTACAATTGTTTTACACTTTGCATCGATGCTATTTGTGCTGCAAATACAGTTGCCTTTATTGATAAAGTTTAATCCCTAGTTTCTCGTTTCGGTGAAGTTTCATTGTAAGTTTAGTAGCTCGGTTTACGTTTCCATGAACAGAATAGTGGCCTACAGAGATTATTGTAATCACAGCATACAATGGAAGCACGTAACTGCGATCAATATCAATACTACATCTTTAGAAAATACACATTCCATTCTAACGGTGTATTATTTTGTCGTTTCAGGTTTGAAGAAAATTAGTCGTCAGAACGATGTGAGAGGAATATATGGGTGAACACCAAACGGGCAAAGAAGATTCGACGAAATCACGAACACGTGGCGGGACGTGAAGCGGGGTGAGTGGCACAGAATTTGTTTATGAAAACATTTTTTGTGCTGAATTTGACCATGAAACTTCTGGGAATAAATAATGGACAAGATCCATCAACAGTATTAAACGATTTGCAAGAGGTAAACGAATTATGTTTCGTATCACGAAAGAACAAGATTGACAACGAGAAAGAAAGTATTTTTCCCCATCTCGGCTGTGATCCAATTTCCTCGGATTGCAGGAGAAACGGAGGCAAGTTTCGCGACAATGCACCCGGTTGAAATGCAATTCGAACTTCTTCTTCGACGCGAGCCTGAAAGGCGCAATTTTGTCAAGAATTGTGGCCGACGAATTTGCTTTCAAAGTATCCGCAAACTCGTCGACGGAAAAGGGCGACGGAGCGAGCGTTTTCTAGAGGAAGATTAGAAAGACCGCAGCGTGTAAGAAGCGATCCGGTCGATCTAGCTAGCACAATAGGATCGAGAAAAGGAGAAGAAGCCGAAAGAGGAGTCAAAGAGCGTTGGGAAATAGAACGAGACAAGGCAGTGGTTCGATGGTCGTGGATTTCTCGATGCTTCCTTACCATCGTCAAAGGATGAAAATTGAACCGCAAGAAGTTGAAGAGGTTGGAAGGAAAAACGTATCTACCTTTACCAAACCCTACTCTTAGATTTTCCATCACAGCGAGGGAAACAGGAATATCCAAACTCGAAATAATATCTTTTTTTCTAAGTTTTGAAAATATTCTTCTATTTCATTTTGAATTCATGTAAGTTGAGAAATTGTGTTCAAACTTTGCTCTTCCACGAGCAGACGTCAGTGGCATCTAGACGAAATATACGACGACAGCGAACGCCTGAGAAATTCTTTATGTATACTTAAACAGCCACTAGGGATGATTGAAGGGATAAAAGGAGAATTTTTTCTTCCTTGATGGTGGAATAGTATAATGGAAAGTGGCGGTGTTCCACGTTGTGGCTCGTTTTCAGGTATCCTGAGGAGTAGTTTCATCCTTTTGAAAGGCTTGGAATGGGGCTGCAGGATAAAGGGAAAGTTTTCCAGTGAAGTAACTCGTTAACAATGCCGAAGGTTTGTCGTGGATGATAAAGGAAACGTTTTTGGTTCCCGGAAAATGGATGTCTCAGGGAATCGGATAGTTTTCGCAGAGAAATGCATAAACGATATGCATAAAATGTTCAGTGATATCCACTTTAAACGTAGAATTAAAACAGAATATAAAACCATGTGAACGATTTTTCATCAAACACCCACGAAGCAGGATAAAAATATGAAACAAAGGGTTTCGAGCGCCTGATGTTTCGGATGTGGCTGCAAAATTAATCATGCAAGACGTTCCTCGAGCGTTTTCAGTCTGTTGATACTCTCTTTCTATCCTACAGCTCAAGCATAAAGATGAAACGGTGTAACCCCCGCGAACCTCTTCTAATACAAGCGTGTATTTGCATACACGTGAGCTGTATACGGGCACACGCATGTTGTCGCGTTGAACGAGAATTCCTAGCGAGGCTGTGGTTGTGAAAATTTAATTAAAACGTGTCTTCGCACGTTGGTTACGAGATCCCGTGGTAACCGGTGTTCTCCTTTTGCCTTGGACGATGGTAAATTGCATGGAAAAGAACACCGGGGGTTGGAAAATATTTTGACGACGGCACAGCTTGAGTAAAACATATTTTCATCTCCTGATGAAGGATTGGATTCATTTTTTTTTTTTTGATAAATTAATCAAGTTTTTTGGATCGAAATTTTTGGACCTGAAAATTTACCACTGTTTTAATGAGGTGGTCATTTTTGATTGCAGCGTTGAGCCTGCTATGCGTAAAGAAATTCGCCGGCAGCGGAACAATGCTGGAAGCACCGCCCGGAAGTCGCGAGGACCTCGTGGAGGCGGCAAGAACACCATGCACACCCACAGGTTAGTCGACCAACCCTTTATCATAAGCTTGAAACAGCTTTGGTTGCTAGATCTAATAACTCGCGTGCACACGTGGTCACGAAGTTCATAAGCTCGCTCGATAAATAACGAGCTACACCACCTGCGAGCATAAATAAAAATGAAACAGACGGTTTTCGAAATTCGACGTTCAACAATACCTAGGCATTAATCACTTTGAAACGCAATTATGTTTCCAATGAAAATTTGTCCTGGAAACTTTTCAATTTTCAAATTGAGTTTTATCACTTTTGTCGTGTCGACGTTCCATTTGCGACCATGTGTTTATCATAAAGTTTAAATGGAGATACAGTGTGTCTCGGTAAATCTACCGGAAGCTTGAACAAAGTCATAAATTCAAACGATGAATAATGAAAATGATAATAATGCGGCACAATATGCTTCGTTAAACTTGATCGCAATTTTTTTGTTTTACAAAATTATTCGTTTTCCAATTAAAATTATCGACAGAATGATTTTTACATGACCATTGTTCTTACAATAAGGAGAATGTACGAGTGTTGTTGAACGTTTAAAGGCCTGACAACGAGAAAAATGCCCTCTACAAGTTGGCTGAATCGCGAGTGATTAACCCAGTTCCCATTTTCGTAATTAAAGTTTAGGCCACGTATACATTTGAATGCGAACATGGCACGGTTGCGTGTTCCCGGAAAAACGTTCTTTCTCTCGAAAGTTTTTGTAGCTTTTTCGGCGGCGTTCCTCTGTACCATCGAACGAATTTTTCTCCTTTTTCTAGGTGTTTTTCCGGGTCAACGTTTACGTTCACGTGCCAACGCGAAACTGTGGTTTTCAGCTCAAACAATAAGCTCGCATTTCGAATTTCCACGATTTAAGCGTTTTATTTTACGATTTGCCCGAAGTGGCACCGACATCGAGAAAACTTCCCGAGACTCGTGCGAGAATGGCCCTTTATTAATAATTTTATCATTCTAAATCAGTGACCAAAATTGACGAACCACCATTGTCTACGAAGAATATGAATCTTCATAAATAACGCTTGGTTATTTCGGCGGACAACAGGTGCCGATATTGCACGGGGACATTTTTGGGATTGCTTTGTTCCCCGCGGTGTACCTCAACCCTTTCATTATTCCTACCACTTTCATCCGTATTCCTGTCCATTTACCATTGCCAAAAAGCAAATTATTGAAGATCGTCGATCACCGTAGACACTCGAACCGGAATTCTCTCTAGTTCCCTCTGTTCGAGCAAAGTTCCGTGACGAGGCTGAATGAAAAGGGGATAAAAGAGTGGATCGATGATTTCCCTCTTCCTGTGAGCATCATCGTCGCCTCGAGCTTATGCGTAACCAAACCAATCAATGCTTTCTTTCACCTTAATGGGTCATCAATATTTCTTTCACGAGTGGAGTTAGTAGGTCGTCCTATTCATTCAAATTTAAACGAAAAGTGAACATACGTGTATAAAAATTATATTTTATCCCACTGATTTTATTCTGCTTTAATATATTAATTAACGATTGATATTGTACATTGGTAAATTTTGTTTTATTATTTTGGAAAGCACAGAAAATAGAAGCAGTAGATAAACTCAGCTGAAACTAAACTTCAGTTTCAGTAGAGAAGGATACTAGTCAGACATTATCCTTCTCCCTCGGCGTGCATCGTTATTTATAACCTGAAACGTCGGTTCCATGATACACTGTGCTACTGAAAGTTTGATAGAGCTTCTCGCCATTTATCAACTCGTTGAAAATTATTATTTTTGAATATCATAGAGAAAAGTTCACTCTCCTCTTATTCTATCAACCGTAAGAAATTACTGGTATCATAATTTTAGAATTGACAAATAAAGACTAAACATTGCCTTCAGTAGTATAGAACGATATTAGTCAGACATGATCCTTCCTCGACGAATATGCAACGACACGTTGATTTCACGACTCGTTGAACTTTTCGTCATTAATTTTCTTCGTAAATTGAAGCATCAGAGGAACTTGTTTAAGACACGTGTACTTCGATCGGTTGTTTCAAGTATCTTGAAGAAGCGTAGGCGTCTCAGCCGATAGCGAGACAGTAATTGACACCACTTTCACGGTTAAACCGCTTTCCAATTTTCTCCTTATTTTCACGACATAATAACTTAGCGACGGTTGACGGGGTTCGGTCCGTAAGGGTGGGCGAGAGGGTCGAAGGGGTTGCTGCACCATGCGGCCAGTAATGGCTACGTATATATAGAAGGTTCTTTACAAGGCGACGAGATAAGCTCTCATTGGCGACCGAAGCGTAATCACTACGGCTTCCTGAAATAGCCTGAACCTTCACCCCCTCTCGTCCCCCCTTCGATCTTGCCGTTTCCCTTTCCTGGGATCCTTGGCAGAGGAAGCTCGATCGGTTTTGAAGGGTGCTCATGAACGCGTCACTGTCATTGATCCTTCGACTTTCGATATTTTGTCGTAGAAACGTCGCGTTACATTTTTCTACCCTTATAAGCCTCTTTGAAGATTACCTTTTTCTTATGTACGGAAGCAGGTCCTTATTTCTTAGATAAGTGCTACGATTTTTAGGAAATTACATTGGAGGAACTTTGAAATTTTGGAATTTTTTAGCTTCTTCGTTACATTTTTAATATACGTTTTCTTCAAACTAAGAGAAGTGGTCCTTCTCTCATACCAATACCAATATTTTCATAATTACTTTTTCAACTTTTAATTACCGACCTTCTGCTAACGAGTCAACCAATACCGGAAGAAAGTCGAGTTTGTTTCATTAGCCCGTCGGTGTGTCAAACCGTCCTGTCACCCCTCACCCTCTTATAAATTTTGAAGAAGTTTAATTCCGCGTAATTGCCCAAGTTTTCGCCGTAGCCTGCGGCCGAGGAAACAGCCAGTTGTTCATGGAACACGATGAGAACGCAGAAAAGCGTGGAGCCGAAAAAAAACTTTCTTAAGACACAGACTTTTTAAAGTCACCCATAACGTCGGGGCTTTTTTTCCAAACGATCGTTATTTACTTTACCATGAGCAAGAAAAACAGTCCATCAGAGGTCGAATAAGGGTAGGAGAAGGGACGGTGTCTGGTTGGAAAAAGTGGTCTGCTGTTCGATCGAATCGACGACATTTTGATTTATGACTTGAAAATGGAAATCTCGCGTTGGGATCCGCTCTCTGCTGAGTCTCGCGGGATAACCGAGTTTTTCACCGCAAGTTGAAACACCGACGAGTTGATATTCGACAGTTTTTTCGATCGACGAATAACAGGCATAGAATTCTCTTTAAATTAGCGATTGAAGAGAATTAGAAAAATCAAAAAAAATCGCGATCAAAATATTCAGAGGCGTTGGAAACGTGACTTATCTGGTGCAAAGCCGGAAACGTGGCTTGACACGGTTGCTGTCGACACGTTGTCCCAAGAAAAGCATATTTCCCAGGAAGCAAAAGAACACGGGCGATAACAGAATCCAATTAGCCGGCACTCGTTGGTGCAGTGGTTTCTTCTGGGACTTCAGAGGCCGGGGTCGGCTTGTTAAATGTAAGTCGGTGGCTTTGCGAGGGTTACTTCTTCAACTTGCACCCTGCATCGTTGTGAAACCGGGTTCGATGAAGGGAACAAATAAAATTCACCTTTCTCCGAAAACCTTGATATTGCCTCGAGTTATTGCTTACCAGTCGACGTCAGCGAAACGAAGAAGAAAGAACAAAAGGAGAACGCGTGCTTATGCAGCGTTTTCAAGAAAAGACGGTGGAAATTGACCTCGTTAATGAAAGATCGGCCACGCAGAATACAATCGTACCACTGAAAGCTTATTACGTCAATCCCAGCCTTTATTACCCACGGGGATTTATAGCACACGCTTCAATAACGAGGAGACCGAACATTGGAACGTTTATTCAACACGTTCCCCGGGTATAATGCATTTCTTGTGTACCTTGAGCTCTCGTAATCGTTTCGTCGTGTATATTTGGCGAAAAGATCTGGAGGATCATCCGTCGTTGTCGCTGAAATTCGTAAACTTGTCGTCTCTGTGATAAACGCGCAGGTTATGCAAATAAAAAGGATAAAGGATGGGTTGAAAACTGAGAGGAAATAACAAATACTTTTTGAAGATATACATGGCAGGTTTATTGTAAACATTCTTTCGTTGATATAATCTTTTATTTTGCTATTCAAACGTTTCCCGGGTATAGTTTCGGGTAATCGGAGAAACTAAATATCGCCGGTGTTTCGAGGCACGGTTTATTCCCGAAGGTTCGTAAAATGAACAAAGCAACATCGGGAGAGCGTTGAATAATTTATCGGTCCAGGCTAACCGCGTCTGTACGATATACATCTGGCGCAGCAACTGGGCTTTCCGTTTGTGATTGGTAAATGTCATACGTCGCCTGATTGCATTCGGTTTCAGGAAGTTGGCCGAAGGAGCGAGAAGGATCGGCAAGGGAAAGCTGAAGTCCAATCAATAGTCTGTGATGAACGGTCCAACAGCTATTGGCACAGCACCGATGGCGTATAGACGTTCAGGGCTGTTCTATGAATTATTTAGCGTTAGCCAAGTGGCCCTCGGTGTATTTACCCTCAAACCGAGGCGGGTTGCATAGCGTTCGGGAAGTTCGCTTGATTTCACTTCCCTAATCTATCGTTCCTATCAGTGTCAAATGGCGTGACTGGTGTCGTTTCTTCGGTCGAATTCACTGGACATTCGAACTTGAATCCGAACGACGATCAGTTTCGAATTTCTGACAGGTTTTATGGATTGAACTTGTGAGATTATCTAGAAAGAAAGTTTCATTTTGAATAGTTTTGCAATTGTTTGCAATATGTTTGCATTGTCTCGGATACTCTTTGTTTAACTTTCAAAAGCTAACTTTCCTTCTCTGTTTCCAGCAACCAAAACTATGCACCTATTCTAGAAAATTACACTCTGGTTTCATTCGAAGCTAAACAAATACCCATCCAAGTTCAGATTAAAGATGAAACGTAAGTGGATCCAGAATCTATTGTAGATCCTTTAATAAAGCTGGTATTTGGTATTAGGTGCATCTACGGTTCAAACTATTCGGAAATCTCGGTTGACTTGGCCCCTTGACCTATCGCTTTTCTCGGTATCAAACGCCACAACTTGCCACGCTCTGTTACCCCGACAAAATCAATCTCCGCGACTCGAAGCTCCCTTTCCAGCCACGATCGCGTAAAATGGACCGTGGAAATGAGTTCTTTGCCGTATCTGACGGTCCTTCAACGTTTCATTCCATAAAATTACCGCTGGTTTCTGTACAAACGATGACAAATACGTGCAATAAGAAAATGCAAAGAATAAGTAATGAACAAGGGAACTTCTAGGACCTGAGGCTACTTGATACATATTTTAATAATTTACTGATTTAAAAAGTTTAAAAGGGGTGAAATTTGTTGACACAGTAAATGGATCGCTCCTCTGAAACCTCCTTTGATTCAATACTCTTCTTAATTAAAGGGTTAGCAAAGTAATCGAAGTCGAAAGTTTCGCCACAATGAACCCTAACGAATACCGGTGGAAATCAGGCTTGTCATCGTCGCGAAGGTCGTCGGCTCGACGCAATCTCCGTCCAATCAAATGGCAAACACTGGCCTCGCAGAGAGCTGGTACGTCGGTGAGGACCGTTTCCGCGAGCCGCGTACTTCCATATGCAAATTGCACGCTACGACCTAGCACGTCGTGCAGCGAAATCGAATCAATATTGCATTAGGAAGGCCGGATGCTACTGCGATCCGAGCATGGACCTCTATTCTAGTGAATAAATTATGCCGAAGAGCACAGCCTACCCACTCTCTCTGCAGCTTTTGATAAACGCGCTTCCCGCCACACCAGGCCGGTTACCCTCAAATTTTTGATGGCCTAGCCCGCGGTTTTCCACGAATATTTCATCCGGCAACCGCGGACCCGTATTCTGTCACGGGAGAGACCGTTTTCCTGAATCGGTTTCCTGGCAAAATCGATGGAACTATGAAATTTCGTAAAAACTCACCCCTTTGCTACGATATTCGATAATTCCTATTCAGGAATTCAGTTGCCAGAAAATTATCAGTTCTATGATAACATAGTATGATTTTTAAAATTAAAAAATTTTTTTAAATTTATTAAATTGGGAACAATATAATTATCAGTTCTATTTAGTAACAAAATGTAACACGTGTAATTCTCACGATCAGCTCCCGGAAGTTTGCCTGCCAGCTGAAAACATTCCTGGAAATCGTTTAACGAGTCGATAGTTTGCAAAAGCTGCTGGCTATTTGCATCGTTTCTCTCGCGTGTAAACAATACACACGATCGTAATATAGGTTCGGTTAGCCGCTGCCAGTCGAAGCACTCTTGTAATTCCCGGTGTTGATGCAAATTTTATGCGGTTCTCTAAGGTACCTAAGTTTTACGTCCGCATGTTAATTGGTTTGCCAGTCCGTTGACGAGCAAACTTAGCGACATCGTTTAGAACTTCTTTTCTTATCTCTAGAAAAGTTTTTTCTACTGCTGTCGAACCGGACAAACTTTTTAATTTAATTTATGGATGAAGGTATCTGAGTTAATTACCTTAGGTTCGCGACACATTAAAAGTGGTTCTTTTTTTCTAAATATTTATCGACGATTTAGAATAATGGGGTGAAAATCGTAGGAATCATGAAATTATTGGCATCCTTACGCCATTATGATGATATATTATGGACGAACGAGCGATGTGATTGCTATTAGCAAGGTACCAGAAAGAGGATCGTAATTACGGCCAGGGTGGGATGGTTCGTTACTGTTAGAATCGCGATTAATTGGACGAATTTGCGGATCAGTGGAGCGGATGCTTGCGTGGCATTAAATGGGTTCGCCGTCGTTTCCATCATCGTAACTGGATACTTTGCATTGCTATTAAGGATATAATATTAATTTCCTTCGTTGCATCTTGGAACAATTTATGAGCCTCGTAGCTGGCTTACAATCTGAACGGCCAATTACTTGGCTTATAAAGAGAGATTAGCGATCATTATCTTACTCATAGCAGTGTTAATAAATTATTCTATTTGTCAAATGATACTTTGATCCTAAAATTGATTTTACTATAAATAACAGAATGTTCGTCACTTCTGTTGACAAAAGAATGAAATGAAATGAAATTTATGCTTCTTACAAAATTTTCTCCTATCTCTTTCAAAGTGCTGCTAAAATTTTCAACAATTTGATAAAACCACAAATTGCAATAATAAATCTCATTATCGTGTCGTATCGCGGTTGCTCGAGCGTACGCGTATATTTCGCTCCCGCCACAAGGGAGAGAAAAATAATGCCGATAAATTCACGTGATAAGTCAGCATAGAAAAGTAATTAGCAATAAATCCTCGCGGTCTGATATATAACGCGTTTCGTTTTCTTCGCGCGTCGCTGAATAACGCTTGACACGATTTCCAGCAAATGTGAAACGCATCGAGATCTGTCAACGTGCATTAAACATTGTTACTTCTGAATAACACATTATGACAATTTAAGAAAATAAATAAAATAGTAGATTTCTAACTACTGATATGCTTTTCTACGTAGGATTTCTTTTTAATTAAAAATTAATTTCATTCTTTTTCTATATCAAAATCTTCCAAATTCTTGTGAAATTTAAAAATTAAAACATTTTTCTGAATTTTATACTATTTAATAATTTAAAATTATTTTATTTTATTTCTAAATTACTTCTAATATTAATATCGTCAAAATTAAGAAGCCCTGTTTCCCTTATATCACTATTATCCCTAGGAAAGCCTGATTTGATCACGAGTGTATCATGCGACTATATATCGCTATGTAGTAAAATAACGCATGCAATAGAATACTGGAATTGCTTTTCTTCGAATATATTCGTCGTGGGGCGTGTAATATACGAAAAGATTTATCAAGCTTGACTCAGCGTCGCTTGAACTTCTTGCTGTGCATTTGTACGACGCAAGCATGCTCTGATTCAGTGGCTGAACTGAAAATGTTATTGAATCTATGATCGCTCAGGTTGACTTTCTAAAGTATAAATCTCTTTTCGATCAAAGGAAACATATCGGTAAACGTTCAGGTACCATTTCAAATTTTCTCTATAAAATACTTAACGTTTCTATCGTTAATGATCACGAAACCCTCGTAGACGATATCAAACTTCGAAATTGAAAATTTCCATCAAACATTTGATCATCGAGGAAATGCTCGTTTGCAAGATAGTTTGACCATGTATCGTAACGAGTTGGTATTGTTTGATCGGAGAACAGAGCCGATTATTAAAGCGAAGACCGAGCCGAACGATAATTAACGTTCGTCATGAAAATGAAACGGATGCCGCACAAGCATCCACGGCTAGAGGATGGATAATAACGTTACACTGTACGTGCGTGTGCATTGACCACCATTGGCGCAGAACAGTCGTTTGGGATAAATTCATTCGTTATTTCCGGCTGGGCTGTGCACGGTTCGGGGACGAGCTGTAGTGTCGGAATTAGCTGACCGAAAACTGGTCCTCTGTAACGCGAAGCGGAGCAGCGAAAAATTTCACCCGCCTGGGGAAAGCTTGCTGGGAGTATCGTTTAATCGTAAAACGCACAAACAATCATTTTTTTTTTCAGCAGTATTAGTTTTGCCCAGATATGAGTGGAACAGTGTAAAATGAAAGGGTTTGATGACTATATTACAGTATCGTAACTAGAGGATCAAAAGGAGCCTATAATAAAAATTCTATTTTAAAAAATTTTTTTTTTTATGAATATTTGTAAAAATTTCAGACAACGTTGTTAGAAATAAATGTTTTCACCACGTCTCATCTATTGGGCAATTATGGCTGCGCCACTGCTCTACTCGGTACTTACTATAACGCGTCTGATCACGCAAGTAGAATGAAGTGGAACGTGATCAGACGCGTAAAGTAGAAATCGGTGGAGTTGCGATAAGTAGAACGATGCGGGATGTGGTCAGACGCGTGGAATCACGATAGAAAGGTGGAACGTGATCAAATAAACAGAACGGTGCGGTGGCTGATGAAAATGGGGTGTGAACACGAAAGGAATATAACTTGAGAAATATTACAATTGTGGGGATTTTAAAAATAAGAAGAAAAATTATTAATTTTTACAAATTTCATTTATTCCGTGCATTGTAAATTTAGGAATTTAGGAACAAGAATCAAATTTTTAACCAACATGACGATTTTTGTTACATGGCAATGCACTATGCATCGTTTTGAAATGTCTCTTTTTTCAAAAAATCATTTAAACCGCCAAAAAATGATGCTTTTACTGGTAAACAATGGCCTTCGAATAGGATTGATTCATGGATGAATATCCATCTCCATGTGCATGGCCGATATAAGGCGATGGAAACGAGTAGGGCGAAAGACCTTTCGCATGGAAATGAATCGCGATCGAGACCAAAGTGGCTCCCATTCATCGACAGATAGCTGGCGCATAGATCGGGGTAATAATTTTGAAAAATTGCTACGTTCCCTGAGCTCAGGCTGAGATTTCAGCGCATAAATCGTGCTCGTTCCTGGATTTTCCGTGATGTATCGGTGTTTGCAAGTGTTCCCCGAGAGACATTAGAATCGTATATTCTCGTAACATTGATACAGAATGGCTACACCTATCTAAAACCTCATGTTTTATGGTATTTTTATTTCCTCTTTTTCCGATTTCACTGAAAAATTATTTCATTCCTAATTGAACGGTGTGTATTGATTTATTCCTTGTCAATTGGAATTGTAAAAAGGTATCGATCAATGGAAAGATGTCGGTTTACAATAAGCGTTTAGGTTCGATTTTACGATCACTCCCGGTTCAATTGCCTAGCTCGTTTCATATCGGATAGAACGGGGACGCGTTGATAAGAAACGGTTCGATCGTAATTGGAACAACGCGATCCAGCGCAGCTGGCTAACTGTGCGTAGAATTAGTATTCCGTGTTCGCGTGGCCAATGGTTAGATCCAATTTAATGTTCCGCCTCGCTCCTTGGATTTCAGATCTGGACACGATGTTATATGGATACACGAACAACATATACGTGCTGGACCACACACCTGAATCCCTGCCGGTGAGTAGAATTCAGTTAAGCTTGTTACTCGCGACTGTTTCAGCACATTCCCATTTAAATCAATTTTTATAAAATTTGAAAAACAAAATTACTATGAAAGAACTATGAAATCGCTAAATTTGATTGCATGCTACAGAAACATTCCTTAAAAATTCAGCAGAATCAAGAGTATTAAAATAAAATGTTCAGCCTCTGAATTCACCCAACTATTCTGTTCTTTCTCTTCAAATCAGAGTCGCCTTCAGACGAAACATTGTTAAAAATTTACCGAGTACCGACATTTAACGAAGCCTCGATAAAGCTTCCAATTGATTCCGGGCAAGTTTTCCGAGTTCTAACATTTGCACTTGTTTCATACCAAACGTAAGCGGAAAACTAAACGACAGGCCAGGGAATTTAATTAAATTCACTTCTATCAAATCCTTCGATCTTTGTTACCAATTAAAACTTTCAGTCGAATTTAATAATAATCAACTGAAAGGGACATTTCCTGCGGCGAATACGCAATTCGAAAATTTCTGGATAAATGGAATCGATCGGTTCGCAGTATTAACGATGTGAAAACTAAAGAGAGAAAATGAGAGAGAAATAAAAGCAACGTGTATCGAACGAGCCAGTGAAACGAATTGCTCTTGCCTTTGGAAGAAAAAAAAACTACATTAACTGGATAATTGCACGGATATAGAGGGCAATTCCATGGTCCGTGGTTCTGATAAAAATGAACCTGTCAACTTTGAGTGCTTCTCGTTTCATTTAACACCATCTGTTTTACTGGTTGATTAATCGTTGAGTACTGTTTGTATGTAATTGTTCGTCCAGTGAAATAAACCAAAAGAAACTAATCATAGATTCCCAAAACCAAAATTTTTTATTAAAAGCCACATATGGTCAAGATTACTTCATTAACAGAAGGGTGGATAGTTAATAACTTTGAGTTTCATCATAAGAGACACAGTAAAAAGACCAGAAAACACTTGACGACTCGTCTTCAATAATAGTCATTCGAAGTAGTTTATTATTTGATTATTTAAGAAGATAAAATATTATTAAGAAAATTGTCACAAACAATTCTAAGTACCTAATTTAAACGTAATCTAAAATGCCTTTCTAAATGATCTTTTCCATTAGTTGTCTCTCGGTTTGCAGGTTCGTTTGATCTCAACAATTCCGACACATCTATCTATTTATGCGTGTCCTCATGAATCAAACGTGCGTGGGTGTATATGTTCGTGTGTGTGTATATCGTTATTCGAGATGTGTACAGAGACGCTTCGTGTACCGTGTACACAAGACCGAATGTAATTTGCAGCAGTCTCGCGGGGGGATCTTGATTCCGCGGTGACATAGACATTGAATATCCGGCATCTCACTATAGCGAATTGAATCGATCAATCAGTCACGTTCACGGTAATTAAGTTGTTGGGAGAAATGTTTACTAGATGAGCGAAACAGGTTGCATATTTTTAGAGTATTTCTAAGTCTTCTCTTGATTTTTCCCACTAAAATGACCATCCACGTGATCTATGTACGAGCAGCTGTTAGAAAATTAATTTCTTTTCGAGGTGATAATTACCCTAATCTTATCAAATTACCCCTTAAATTCGCGTAAAACACCATCGTTGTTGCATAAAACGTCAGATTCTCTGGCTAACAAGAAACTTCCATCAACGTTTCGCGGATTTCGATCGGAATTCCTCTCGCATTTCCCGCGTGGTGGAAATTTCCAAGAAGAAGACCGGTGTTAACTTGTCGTTTCCAGCGTGCTATTTATCAGCGTCGGAACAGAGGAGGAAAGTTCACTGGTTGCTGGAAATACGAGTGGAGAGAACAAGAGACTGGATATGTCTCCCAAGGGAATATCCTGAACTCTGTCTAGCCGTGCACTCGGTACATCGAATCAGGTTTCTCTGCTTGTTGTCTCTCAGCATCTGATCCCCTTGCCATTTCCTGTCCGCTCTTTTGTCTGGCGTCCACGATCCTGGCGACGACGTCTCCTTCTGGTCCCTCAGCCACGACAGAAATAAAGATTCGACCAATTGGCCAATGGAGAAAGGACCCCTTTGATCGGGAAAATGATTCTCTGTCGTCGACATTCTTCTCTGGATCAATGCTACCGGTTAATCGTTCCCTTTGATCAAACGGATTTCAGTTGGATATGGAATTCAATCGATGGATAATTTTTTATCAGACCAGGAGCTTCAAATTCTTCCATGAATTTTTCCTGGTAACAGTTTGCAATCAATTGGATGCTTGGATATGAAATTGAATCGATGGATAATTTTGTTATTAAACCAGGTGCTACGAAATTTCCATGAATTTATTTTGACAATAATTTGCAATCAATTTATTTTCACCCAGTATTTCAGCCTGCTCGAATTTTTCCATCAACGTTTTCCAATTATTAAAAAAATATTTGGATTAAGTCCTGCTGTATAATCGAAGGAAAAGTTTCTTCGGTGAAACTGATCCCGACAGTTTCGCGTTAAAAACTCAGCAAAGTTTCAGGATCCTTTAGTCGGTACGAATTACCGTTTCGGATATGTTTTTTCTCGTCGATGTGTTCCCAACACGTCCCGACTAATCGTGCTTGTTCAGAAACGCCAACGGAATCGCTGACGGTCTCATGAAACTTAAATCAACGCCAAGAAGTTTGTCCCACCGTGACCTAAACTTTGACCAGACCACCAAATATTAACTCTTTTCGCTAAAAAAAGAATTACTTCTTCTTTCTTTTTGCCATGAAACGAAAAGAAACTTTGCGCCAGTTCAGTCTTCCATTGTAAAAAAAGAGTTGAATTAGGCTGTGTTATTCAATTAGATTATTGCAATTATTAAATTAATTTTATTCTTTTCTTTTCATCATTATCTTAACTTTTCCATGGGAATTCAACTGAAAATCTATCCTCGACTAGTGAGAAATCGTTGGAAAGCACTTAGCGAACAGGTGCAAGGAATAAAACGCCCGAAACTGCGAGCTATCCACCGTCCACTCGATTTCCTTCGCGATTCTTCGGATATTTTTCGAGAAACCATTGGAGCAACCGTTAAGCGGTACCTTTCGAAGTAGCAAGCTGTTCCTCGAGGAGGCTTTCGCGTTACAAAACAGTCTGTAAGCGTGCTTCTTGCTTATCATGGACGTTTACGGTCGGTAATAGTTCGAAAGTCTCCGCCTCGAGGCGAAAAGGTTTTCAACCAGGTATTTTCCGAGAGTTTCACGATTGCGTCGAGATTCGGGAGGTGAAATCGTTCTGTTGTCGATAAAATAATTCTACATATCGCGTATCAATTGGTAATTTAATAATGCACGATCGACATGGATTCGTTTTATTAATTAATAAACGCAGAGAGTGGAACGATTGCTTTTTTGAATTAATAAACACCCATCTTTTTATTAATTCGTAACAAAACTGTTCAATTTCCTTCGTGATATAATATTGGTGGCTGTTAGTTATCCATGGTTATTTCAGCGTCGAATTATGGGGAAATCAAAGGGACTTCATTATTTATTATAAACCTTCTATTTACTTCGTCAAAAGTTCCAATTTAATTTTCATTTTGCATTTCGAAACCTTTTCGTTAAAAATGATACATTTACCTTTATTGCCATTGATTTTTTTCTGACAACACCCCTCGCATTATTCTGCCTCACGCTCCATAGAAATCCTAAAGTCCACGCGCTAGTTTCTTCGCATGTTCCAATTATTTTCTTCCAGTAAAACGATCGCAGCGTTCGCGTTGCGATAGCGTTGACCGTGATCGTTTGTTTCGTACCGCAGGAACGAAAGGAGCTTTTAATGATCTGGCACCGATAATTAAGCGCGCTGTACCCCGTCACACGTGAAATCCAGTCTCCGTAAACTGGGGGCTAGAATCCTGACACGCGACCAAGATTTCCAGCTTAGCGTTGTTAAGCGTTTCACAACTGAAAAACCTTGAAATATTTTATAAACGCACGCGAAAAATGTAAAGGAGTTTCTCAACAAATGTACCACAATTTCGATTATATCAAATACTCGGAGGAATATGGTGTAACGCAAAGCATCGGAACAGGCGTGGTAAGAAACACGAGGGGAAAAAGGGTTGCTTTGTCGGGACACGTGCGAAAGCCTCGTCACGTTTCTCTTTAATAATACACCGGCGGATTTTCTTCGACTGCTTTCTCCCGGTCTGCCGAGAAAGAAAGATTCGGCACGAGGGAGCGTCGTTAGAAAATCCCTTTTTCGCCGGGAGCGTTTCCACGGGAGTGGAAAGTCTCAAAGAGTTTCCACCGATATGAAACGAATGAGACGACGGAAAGGATAGAGGCACTTGCGAGTACGTCTTACCTCGTTAAGAGAATAATGCCCTACCGGGAAAACCGACGAGAGATTCCCTGCTAGACTAACGAGAATCAACAAGCCAGATGCATGAAAGCTACTGTAGACAAGCTTAACAAAGGCCAATCTTACCCTACAAAGTAGTAATGGAAAATTTTGTTCGCTTTACTTAGAATTTTTTATTTAAATTACCTATGAATTTTTTAATTAATTCAAATTTTCAAATAATGGAAAATTCTATGATACTCTTAGCTTACTTTAATTAAATTGGGAAATCGATAAAATTAAATATTTCAAAAATCAAAAATGTATAGAATTCGCATTAATTAGAATTCGTTTTTGATCGTAGGATATGGACATGCTGCAACTGTTCGCATCGCCGGCAGGTCGAGCACTATTCACAAATGACAATCGCCGGAGAGGATCGACGTCGACCTCCTCCTTGTCTCGAGAGTCCTCTTCGAGGTTGAAGAGAGGCAGAAGACCATCGGGCACAGGTACAGTTAGCGCACCAACCACACCGCCCAGGCAACGTAAATCGAGTGCGGAACTCTACAAAGAAGCTGTCGAAATACTTGGTCTTACCTGCTCCTTGACTGATAGCTGCCGATGCATCGATTGCCAGGTAGTTACCTGTCTTATCTTTCACTTTGTATCCCTCCGAAGTTAGATGCATCGTGATACAAATAAGATCAAGGAGATTTTATTATTTTTATTTTATCGATTTTTATATTTTTTGTTTAAAAGGTTCTGAACTCCAAAACACCATGAGAAAAGGAATAAATATAAAGTCTGGAATAGAATTTAAACCCGAATACACGTATCTTCTAACTATCCCTCAGAAGGGATATAAAATCCCAGCAGGACCATTTTTGCCCACCGACCTGTATAAATTGAAAAAAGAAAAAGGGATTCAATTTTCTGCCAAACCGTGTCGAATGTTTTCCATGAGCCGGTTCTAAGATCCAACGAGTAATTGCATCCATTCAGAGAACGGCGTGTACGTAGCACGCAATTCGAGGGAATCAGTGCGGATAATCTTGGAAAATTAAGCGGATATTGTCTCAAATTCAGAACTAATTGCCAAAGCTCGGCGCACCAATTATAGCCTGTAGCGAGGCATTTTCGTTGATTGGCTATTCTACCGGCAACGCGTAAATATTTCTTTGGCCCAGTTTCGAACGAAGAGCCTGTTTGATCTCGTTTCACAGTAGAAGAAAATGAAACAGAGCGAACGGAAATTGGTATACGAATTTAATTAAAAATTTTAACGCGTATCGGGTAGCCACCTCGGATTCTTGCCTGGCGAGCGAGCAATTACACTGGGGATTCCGGAATGCTAACGAGACGATCTCCCCTTCGTTTTGCCTGGGGAATCTACAAAAACGTTAACGAGAACGTTAGCTTTCGGGCTTTTACGTTTTTCATCAACGACGAGCCTGTATTCTTTGACCTTTATGATTAGGATACTTTGGCACCAACTTAAGCAGATTTAACACTCTTTTCACTTTGTCGATTTCTCTTATTTTTTTTCAGAGCAATTACTTCGACTGTGACGACGATTTTGGCGACGCCAGAACGGAATTGGCTGCGGGAACACCGATTCTACTGGACCACGCTCTGTCGCATCCATTGACGTGTTCCATACAGTAGCAGCCGAGCAACCTGTTTGAAAATCGACCTTCCGTTAGTTTGCTGTGCTATCTTACCAACCGGAAATCATCGAATTATCGAAGTTTCGTCGAGAACACTGGACTAGGAACGAAGCGTAGACGTTCAACGCGTACACTTTGATCTGGAGAAACGATCGAGCGAAGATCAATGAATCGAAGAAGAATTTAATGAACACCATTGGCTCTTTAATTAAGCTCATTGATTAATCAGCGATTGTGGAGATGTTTCCTTTGAAACAAGTATCAACAAAAAGACTTGGATTACAAAATCTTTCTTTCAATCTTAATTGCAGCTTTCGACCAAACGAGAGAGAAAAATACTCAATTTTTAAATATGGTTGTTGAAAAAATTCATATTTCATTGAATTTTTATATAATTTTAACGAAATTCCTATGTGATATTAATAACATATTGTACAACATTTATTGCCAATGAAATTCAAAATGAGCTTGAAAACCTTTTGTGGGAAAAATAAAACAAAATTGGTGGATACAGAGTGGAGACACTCAAAGGGCTAAATTATATTTAATTAATAGGGTTCATGGAACAATTATCTCGCTAATACAAATACATATAAAATTTCACAGAAAGCTACAAAATAACAGCTATTGATCTTGGACGTCTGGTGTAATTCATTCTGTCATTGTTCTCTGGAAAAGAACAGTTCTAGCGACGTTAACTCTACAGATATATAATTTACGGACAATATTTAACAAAATAAGTCGCAATCATTCTCCCTTTTTCTTTTTATAAGACACAAAATGCAGGCTTACGAAACTTAGAATATAAACTCTGTCTGAATGTGCAAAAGTTTGTAATCGCAACTGCGTGACTTTGGATATTAAAAAAAAAAGAGAGATGTTACAAAATTGCTGCTCACAAATTTCACGTTTTTATTAAACATATTTCGTACGTGTCGTTGTTGTCGATAACAAATGCCGAGGAAAACGGTACACACAGAGAGGAAATTCTAGGTTCATACTGAAAAAATAAATAAATAAATAAAAATGCTCTCGCCTGGCTCAAAATCGAATTTATCGACACATGCCAAAAATGAAAATGCGCCAAATTTCTAATCTAATTAGCGATAAATATAACGATAATAAGTAAATGAATAAATAAACGATAACCCTAATGATAATTTTGATCTAGTCGGAAGGTGTAACGTGATTAAGACGTATGTGTAGGTAACATTTAAATGATTCAACGTACACGATGTGAGAATTATATATATATACACATTATCTTTACTACACGTTTTATTATTACTAATTATACTTATTCGATTAAGTCTAATAGGATATATACACGTTGTTGAACGTTATGAGCCCGCGAACAAATAATATGAAACGAGATAAATGAGGATAGTTAACACGGAAAGGAAGATGCGTGACGTATTAATAAATTAACAGAATTTATACATGTATATACGTGTATACGTCGAACATGTGTGCGATTAAGTTTTATAAAAATCATCTTTAGTTAGACGTTTCGTGTTCAGTTATTAACACGTTGACTGTCGCCTGCTGTAAAGTAATCAGAGGAACTCCCCAAGTGTTACGCTCACTTATTAATAAGTAAGCGTAATAATTATTATAATCATTTGGATATTTATTAAATTTATGATACTGATCACTGGTGACCAGAAGCGGATTAAGATTTTTGGGGCTCGGGGTTATCAAATATTTGAAGGTCCTCACAGTTGATGAATTTTATTCAGAAATTGAAATTTATTCTAAATAAAATGAAGTAACATTTAAATAAAGCGGCAGTCGATGTACGATCCATGACTATAATAAACGATGTAACCATAAACGAAGCTAGGCCTGAGTTACATAGGATTGAGCGAAAGTGGAATAAGTAGAAGAGGTTTGACGTTTTCGTGAGTGAGGAGGAGGAAACTCGCGTTCAAGGGTGCAAGTGCCAAACTAAAGTTTAATCGTGCGACGCTCGTAAGCTTAGGTGATTCGTTATTGAAATATTTCCTTAACCCTCATACGCTAATTTAAATTTTGAAGAAAGAAATCCCAAATACCATTACTATTCGTTATAATTTCAAGTAAAAGCGAATGTTTTGTGTAATTAATTTTGAGAAGTGTGTGAGGGTTAAGGATCCTTCTTATCTGATAGATTATGATAAGGATATAAAGATAACGTCTTTCGAACTTGTTCAATGTACCGTGCTTCCCTCTAATGAGGACTATTGAGAGAATATTGTCCATTCTGTCGCTAAGCTTTCAGGACTTTTAATTAACCCTTTTGCTGCCAGTGGAAGGGTTGATACCGAATTTCAAAAACACAAAACGTAATGATTTTGGATTCTTCCAAATTACTGATGTTTGTGAATATTCAATTTCTTACAACGACGAAGTCTGTAATAAATGATTGATTCGTGGTTTCGTGAAGTTCGATGGTTAACTCTGAGGCAGCGGACCATGAAGAGAGCCCCAGTTTTAATTCAATTTTGCATCTCGTATTATTTTCATCTTCTATTTAAAAATTATTCCCCCAATAAATGAAATTTTTTCATTTAAATTTATATCCTTGTATATATTTTCTAAATATGGATCAGGATTGACTCAGAGGCCGCTGTTCAAGGGTTAAATTTTAAAATATTTACTTTACAAAATATCGCTGCCATTTTTCTCCAACAACAAATTGACTGTTTTAATGATTAAGAAAAATACAGAAGCTAAAGCGACGCTTAGATTAGAAAGGGAAGTATAAGCGGATCTTTGATCATCTAGTTACGAACGGAAGAGGGTCGACGAAATAATAGATCGTTGTCGGTTTAAACATTCCGTTGACAGCGTTCCTTTGTTAACAATTGTTAGAACGATTATACGTTAAGATTGTTGATATACTTTTGTTATTCCTGTCGCTTCGAGGAACCTCGCATTTCCGTCTCTCTTCCGCTTTCAAAGCGGCCAATCCCCGGCTGCTCTATATTTCTCTATTTCTCTCTATCCCTCAATCTCTCTCATCGACGAAAGTAAAAAAACATAATTAAAAAAAGTAATCGTTTTCCGAGTTCTCGAGAGACGGCAAGTGACGTTACGATATAAAACTACGTGGCTTCTAATCGTTTTATAGTAATGTAAGCCGTAATTAAGCCGAGGTGAATGGGTTCTTGGCGTACTCTTGGATATGGCTATCATTAAAATGCGATAAAATATCATTACACCTCGTGTCGTTTAATAAACCAGCCCCCTTATTATTTATTTTTCATATGATATAATATTTTGCGTTAAATTAAAGTAAATGGCATGACAGATTCAATGACATTGATATTTTAGATATCGGAAAAATGATATTCAAAGAACCAGTACGAAAATTAGAAAATGAGAATAGAAAAGAAATTTAATATAAAATTTAAACTTCAAATCATACATTGAGCTAACAAAAGATGATGTTAGAGATTCTAGAAAGAAAGTAGAAAGAGTCCAGGCAGAGCTAAAATAAAAACATAGTCAAATAGGATGAGTGGTTCTTCTCTGACTAAAGGAGACCTTAATTAATACAAAAAAAGGAACCAGCAACGCCCTGATTCCACTATCCAAGGGTGTAAATCGTTTAAACAATTTTAACACGACTATTTTACCATCTGCTGTAAAGAAGGCGTGTTCTTTTGCCAGTAGATGTTCATGGCCTAGTTTTATTTTATACCATCATAGAATACAGTAGATACATACCATCTCCCAGTAAGTAGATACTCCCCTTCGAGTATCTTACTGTTCAGCTGGTGATAAAACAGCAGCCTTCTATATACACTATCAACCTATAGTATTTCAACCCCTAACATTTTATCAAGCATTTTTTGTTTATAATCTTCTTATCATAGAATTTAGAATTTGGAGTCGCCTTGACACTGGAATGGAATTTCTTGTCATTTCTCTTTCAAAGCACTCTTAAAACAACCCTTTATTGTATGTCATTCTATTTATTTCCAAATAATCCTACATTTCGATTAAAATGATCCTTTTATCCTGTACACCAAGACTTCCATGACTTCGTGTAAAGAAAGTCTAATAGTTTCAACCCTTTGTTCGACAGGCACCTCCATCAAGCATCGGATCAGAATCGTTTTATCAGAGTCGAGGATCATGTTGCGGGCCAAAGCGAGACGGAGAACCTCTTAAAAGAGGAAAGAGGATCAGTAAATAGAAGCCAAGATGCAAATTGAATTCGCCAGTCGAGCAAGAGGATACTCTTATTTCGTAGCGCGTTCGCTAGGGGTGTGAGTGTTGGGGATGGGGTTGAAAAGGGAAGGGGGTGAGTGGATAGATAGGTGTCCTCTTGGAAGGATACCTTAGGGAGCGACGCTTATATCGAGTTAGAGCCGTTTGAATACCGACGCGTTTCCGCTGGAAGGGGGTTCGTGATATCGAAGGTTCAAAAGTTGATACCCAACCACCTTCCACGCTTCCTAGTCATCCTTATACGATTAGACCCGGTACTACGTAGCTCGCTGCAGAAGAGGGTAGCTTCCACCCTCTCCCACTTGCCGGTTCCTCTTCTACCCCGAGCAGGAACATTGAGCCCGATGCAGTCGTCCTTGCACGACGCGTAGAATACTTAAGATCCGTGTCCTTGTGTCCCCGCCCGTCGAACCGTCAAGGATCCGGTCGCTTCTTCAGACGGGATGACGTGCAGCACGCATAAAGTATTCTTAGGAGGCGATCCATTTCGAAACTGAGTTACGGCTGCTACGTGGTCCAGGTAGGCGTCGATACGGCCGCGAAATTATGCACGGTGTATGGTTACTGGGGACGATACAGTCTTTTTGATATTTTTCAAGAAACTTGAAAAGGGTTTCCCAGTTAGCAAATTTTTTAAACTCTGATTCCAACACGTGCATAATTTTTAATCAAATTTCATCATTTATTTCTCTGAATTGTGATGTAATACCAGCTTAATCGTTGAACACATTTTTGACGTGGTCAATTAGGCGACAACCCCCCTCCCGTTTCGACGTGTTAATATTACGAGCAACCCACCTACCAGAATTCACCATAAAACTGTCATCAATAGTATTCACAGAATAAAACGTAATTGCTTTCGCAGGAATCCTCTGATGGGGCAAAAAGTAGCGTACGTGGAGTAGTAAATTCAGGGAGGTCGGAGTCGCGTGTACGCGTGGATTAATCAGACGCGGGGGTGGTAAACGGTATTGACGCGAAACGTTGAAGAACATCGCGCGGACACGACGAGCACGAAAACGAAGAACGAAGCAGAAGGACCTGGGTCTGGTTCGGTCATCAATGATGCAGGTTAAAGGAGATACATGGCGCCACCCAGGCAACCACGGTGCACGTCCTCGGGGGTCGATTTCGTCCCGGTGAACAGGACATCGTCGAACGAATAATCACTTTTCGAAAGTATCCTCCTGGTGTATTCGTTGCCAATGGTCCACGTTGCTCGGCGATCATTTATTCAAGATCGGAAATGAATCGAGCTCCCACGGGGACCTAGTCATCGAACACGTATGCGTGTGTATCGATAGACCTATTTCTCGGTTATTTCGACGAGACTTTAGTGATCCCACGATGTCTCTTCTATACTTTCTAGTTAACTGCTCGAAACATCTTATTTGAAACTTTTATATGGTGTGAAGTTGGTATCCTACGATTTAACCCTTTAGTGGTGAGATGCGATATGATGTACTTCAATTATTCTGTTTGAATTCCAGGGTTCTGATTCTAAAATTCAAAAATTTTGAAATTCTCAAATTCTAATATTCTGAAAAAAAATATTACCCCTAAAAAATCCTAATTACGTTAATGAGTTATCGGAATTATTTACCTTCTTTCTTTAGAATTTAAATAAGATTACTTCCTGATAGGTCTTTGGAAGGAGGAATGTGATATAAAGTTGTCGAGGACGTTCGATGTTTATATTCAAGCCTGAGTAAGCAGGAATTCAATCGATCTTGAACTCTATTGAGTCAGTCGAAGCGAAGACTTCTGATGGATCGCGTCGGAACGTGCGACATGCGCCTTTCTTCTTTACTACCCATTTGTTTTATTCTTAGTGGCCGGTTCCTGGGCTATTTATTTAAACTCTCTTCACGTAAGACAGCAACAGAGTCTCGTCGTTATTAGAAAAAGCCTACTGACAAATGGTGCTACCCTTGACAGGCTGTCGCATCGTCGATACTTTGATGTCCTCCGGAAACAAAAGAATTTCTTTTCCTTGCAAATAAATGAATGTTGAAAATAATAAAATTCAGCGTGGAAAAAGTTTGAGGGATAGGGTGGATGGAAAGAGACACGCAATGTCAGAGTTCATAGGAGACGACGAGCATGGAATTAACGCGTGGCATACAACAGGATAAATTGAATAAAACTCGCTGTGTAATCTCCTTCTCAAAAATTCCATTAACCGAGCGCTTGGACAACGCTGCACGTACGATAATTGCGAATTGACGTTTTTTAATCCACACCGAGGCACGATCAGCTGACGTGAAAATCCTCGCTCGCAAACGAGATTATACCTTGTTCGCGAAAAATGGGATTTTAGAATGGATGGTATCTCGTATATTCTTCTGGAACACTCGTTCCTCGTTATTAACGTTCAAAAAATTTGCAAATTTTGCAGTTTCTATTTTATACCTCTATATTTTATTCAATTCCCAAGCGTTCCACAAAATTTTTCACTCTCATAGTCTCAACCTATAAATTTTTAATTTCACAATTTTCAAGTTTCTCAAACTTTTAATTTCACAATTTCCAAATTTTTAATTTCACTTTAACTTTCAACCCCAACAAATAAAGGTATCGCAGAATCTTTTGTTTTACAAAAAAAAAGTAATGGAGCAGGTACTTCATTTCGTACTCTTTTTTTCCAGGTGTACGAGTGCCGGAGTACGTGATGCATCTCGACTGGGACCACGAGGAAAATATTGGCACGCACGGTCACACGTATCGATTGCCGCTTCACCGTCGGATACGTCGGCGACGTCGGTCCCGCGCTATGGTACATCACTCAAGGATGTCAGGATCGGGACAGGTTACGAGGTTCTCCGGTTTCCATCAATTTGGTGACACTCTTGCGTTCAACTGCGACGGTCCGCTCGAGTTATTGCAGGATAACGCGCGGAACGATGCTGTAAATAATATGGAGAAGCAGCGAGAGGGTTTATGGAAGCTCGAACACGGTCACAGGGCCGAGATACGAAAAAATAAAAAAATAAAACGATAGAGGGTGTAGAAGGTGGTAAAAGTAGAAAACGGTTAGGGTAGAAGTAAGCAAAAGTGGGATGGATTCCAGGTATGCAGAGGATGATCCTGGATGTCATATTTCAAAGTGAAGCATCCTCGGAGGAGTCGTGAATACCTTAATAGTCATAAGGTGTATCCGCAGAAGGCTTCTGTATTTGTCCCCGCTAAACGTGTTTCAATGTTCTACAACTTCCAACGTACAGACGATACGACCCTGGACAGTCGTTTTCTGGTTTAGATATGACGAGGACCTCGAACTGGCACCGTCTCTTCGGGTAGTTTGGGAAATTGCAGGAAATACTGGAAACTGGTAGTGACCCGCTGCAACGGGAATTGCGATCGGACTGGTACTTGTTGAAATTGTCTGGTTTGTCGGGCAATCTTCCCAATGTTCGATGTAGATCGGGTAGCTGAGGGGGCTGGAAGGGGTTGAACACTCGGATGCTTCCCGATAACATCCTTGTGCTAGATATTCTAATTATTTGAAATTGAATAATTCCATTGGTTTGATTGGTGGGCGTTGAATTTAGTTTGATTAATTGGTATTTTTTTTTTTTAATCTCATTTCTTAATTAAACTTCACCAAACGATCGCAAACCTTGTCAAACAATATCAGTCCGACAAATCGAGTGAGAAACCGGCCAGGAAGATTCCGAGCGTACCTGTTCGGGTCAAATGAACAGGCTTAATAAATCTGGCCGACGATACGGTGCTCCCAGTAATCACGTCATTACTCACACAAACAAACGGCCACTCACACGGACGTGGTCTGGTGCTATTTAATAATGAGAGGCTCTCTATTACTCAATGGCTATTAGAGTGGATGCAGTTGGCAGGGCGAGAGAGAAGGGGGTGGGTTTCGGTTCTACTCTGTTCACGGTGCAATCGGTTAATCACCGTTCTCTCATCCCCATTCCTGAGACACGATTTAAGCGAGCGCCGTGTTCCAGCCACCCCCGCGAGTCCCCATATCAATTAATCTTACCCAGAATGCAATAACTGTCCAATCTGCCCCCGTGGCTGCGTCATGGTGTCGTGCAGTCAGTGCTGTAACGTTCTCCTTCCTCCGTCCACCCCTTTCACCGCCCGTCTCGTCCATCTTTGTCCCTTGCTTTTTCCCTCTTTATTCGACTTGGAGCGTCCTTCGAAGTTGCTGAAAATCGTGAAGCACATCACCGAAACGAGCGGTCCGGAAAATCTCGCGTCGAAACGACGCATCCCTTGTGCTCGACCCTGGCCGAAATAATGAGAGTTGCAGAAGAGAAAGGGGCGCGGGAAAGGGACGGATGGAGGAGAGTCGACGAACGAAACTCGTCGGAAAACATATTGGGCCGTTAAGGGGTACGCCGTTAAGGGTAGTCTGCTTAATTGGCACGGCCGTTTAACCCTGAATTACACACCGGACGGATCGCGCAGACTAAAACGAACTGGATGCGAAGCTACCAGATTCTTTGGTCAATGATTAATCGCGTTCATCGTCGATTCTTGTACTTCGTATCCTCTTCATCTTGAACACCCTTCATCTTAAGGGTGATTTGAACGCACGATTGGATAATGAATTGAAAAATTTTAATATAGGATTGAAACAAATCTTCTTTTTTATTCAAATAACGATGATATAAAGTTCTTCGAAAATTCTTAAAGGTACGTTTGAAACGAAAGAAGGGATCGTGTATGTGCTTGTATGTGTGTGTGCATGTGTTTATGACTGATAAAAGAATTACAAATGGTAACAGCATTTATTGTTAATAATAATATTAATAATTGCAATAATATTAATAGCGAGTTTTCTAATTACAATAATTACATAATAATAGGAATGGTACAACAATAAAAATCTTTTCAAAGCGAGAAGAGAGAAAGAATACAATTACTCGTTGATGAGATACTTAAGGGGATATTTCATCCCCTTTTTTCTCTTTCTTTCGATCAGAACCGAATCAGTTCCCAAATGTTTCATCTCTATTTATAATTATTTATAGCCTCGACTTCGTTCCTTTTTATTTATATATGTATATATTTATATGCTTAGGCGAGATACAGTCTAGGTGCTATTTACAATTCTTCTTTTCTTTTCCACATTTTTTTTGGTCACAACTTTGGGGGTGGGTGATGCCCTTTCTTGAACGATAGGTGCTGGAGATATGCAAAATACAGTACGCTGCTCGTACTTTTTTTTACACTTTGTCGATTAACGACGATCAAACGAGCTTAATTCTAATTTTTATTACACAAATTATTAAAATTATTTCTCATCAATTGTTTTAAAAAAAGAAGAACAGGTCACTGATGTTTTATTAGGATATTACAGGCAATTAAACAGTATTAAACACGATCAAACTAAGCTCGTTTAATCGCCACAAAGAACATCGCGTAAACGTCTACTTAATACGAGAAGTACAGTGAACGATTATCAATAATCTTAATGAACGATTCAACACGGCGAGTACCGATACTCGTGAAAACAAATGAATTTCTTTGAAATACCGTGGTTGTCGCTCAAGAAAAAAGGATCCTCATGAATCTATTTAATTCTTATCATTATACTTTCTTGCTCGAACCTCGCGTGGAATGTACAGCTTTGATAACAATCGGAATGTGTATACCATTGACATTCCAGTCAACGAAACATCATACCATCCCTCGATTATCATTGCACCCGAACAAACGCGTTTCTATTTCAATAAATACAAGATCCAATTCAAACGCGAATGTACAAATTGACGTACACGTTTAATCGGAGGGTGTTCGACGACAAGGCCAAAATGAGATCTGCCGAGTTCCACGAATTGCACCGTTCCGGAAGTGTTCGAATAAATGTTTCTCTTCTCAGAAGAGAGATTCACCGTGTCATTCACTGCAATAATTGCGGATTGCCATTGGGGAGAGAATTTTGTCCAGGGATGGGGTTCAAACCGGATGGTCGTTGGGACGCGTTCAAGTCAGCGTGTTGGGTCTCCCGATGCCTTCTTAGATCCACCTTTCGTTGGAAAGCTCGACCACAAAGTTCACAGGCGAAAGGTTTGAAACCCGTGTGCTTTCTCGAATGCGTAATCAGATTGCTGCTTTGGGAGAACGCTTTTCCACACACCTGACATTTATGTGGCTTCTCACCTGTAACATAAATGATGAGCGACGAGTGAGACATTTTTTTATATTAAATATTTGAAAGAGGAACCTTATATCCAATTGGGAAGGGATGGACCATATTTTAAAAACAAATATTTGTGTTTTTAAAATGTAAATATTTTTATAATCGAGGGATTAAGTGGAAGAAATTCTTTTATTTTAAATAACATTTTTTCCACTGAATCCCTCAAATTTAAAAAATGGTCCAACTACCCTTAGACTAACCGAGATCTATCCCTCCCTACCCTGCAGCACAAACAAATTGAATCCCCTAAAACACCCCCGGAACCCATTCACTATCCACGAAAATCCCCATCTACAACCCCTGGTGATCGGATAGACATCTGAACTCTAGTATTCGCCATTCGCTCGCACTCGACATTCACTCGTCGAGGAGCGTTAATTCGCGGAAGTAGTCGTTAATTCGCAGCCCCGACGATGTCTAGCTTCCCGTACAATCATGAACCAAGTCCGACAGATATTTCTGTATAAGATGGAGGTGCGCTAAGGGTGAAGAGCAGGGGGTTGTATCACGGATGCGGGGCACGCCCGGTCAAGATTTCCTCCCAAGCGAGAATCTCAGCCTCCCCGGCGGCGAAGCATAGAGAGGGTTGGGTGTGAGGGGGTGGAGGGTGCAGCCAGGTCTCGCCTAGTTAGACAAGCGCGTGGGGTGGGAGAAGAGTGGCGAACGGGGTAGGGTGGCAGTTTCTCCTGCGGTGGGCACGAGTTCTGATTGGCGGCCAGGGGCGGCTCCAACCCTCGTGTTTCCATGACTACCGGGGAGATAACCCGGCGGTCGGCTACGAAACAGAGATCGAACACGGGGAGAGAAGGAGACAGAGGCTCTCTCCAATGAAGAGAGAGCGCCAAGGGGCAGAGAAAATGATTTCAGGTCGAAGAAAGGTAGACAGTGAATCGGATCGTTGCGAAGGAGAGGGAAAAGGAAAAATATCGCGGGCAAGAAAGATGGACGATGCGATTGGGATTAGAAGAAAGAGAAGGAGAGTTTCAGCAATGCGAACTATGTCGGCGGAGGGCAACAGAGGCCCGTTAATGGACTCCCCTGTCCGCTCGTACGTCCACTACTCTCTGTCCGAGAGTTCCACGTAGACAGACCACATCCCACGCACACACACGTGTACAAGCGTTAGAGATCAGGCGGTGGGTGGATTCATAAACAACTCGTTAGCCGAGCCTTCAATCTCGCCCGGCCGATACGAACGACCGTCGATCACCTTTGCGATTATACCTGATCGTTATCTGGATTTCTTTTTGGACAAACCGGCCTCCGCGTCGTTTTGATTTTTCCTCCCAGACACAATGAGAAATTCGCACAAATTGGAGGAATTATTTTTCTTCAATTCGGTTAAGGGATGGAAAATCAAATTTGGATATCGAATTTATTGCAATAATTGACAAACCCTGAAATAATCTGTTTCAGGTGGCGAACAACCGCAACGATTTCCGTGGACTTGAAATCGAGATTCAAGGGAGGATTCAGGGTTAAGGGTGAGTCGTCAAGGGCGTGCTGCTGGAATTCGTCGGGACTGCCGCTCGATGAAATTCCACGGAGTTCGTGCCTGGATGAAACGGCAGAATGAATAGAATTTTCACGGCATTAAGCGAGGAACTCCTGGAAAAGCGGAGAGAAATGAGAGCGGAGAGGCGAGCTAGCCGAGCTGTTTGAAATTTACGGGATCATAAAAATCAAAACCCTTACCGATAACCGGGGTTATTTATTCGACATATATAAATTGATTCAATTTGGAAAATCTGATTGGAGAAACTTGTTTAACTATTGCAATGAAAATACGACCAGGGCCGGCTTTGAACTTTAAAACCTTGCAATTTGTTAATTTATATTATTTGAAAGGATTTTTGCAAACATTTTATCGAGCCTCGTAAAATGCCTGAAATTCTACCTATACCTGACAACTATGCAAATTTCGGTGGTCGGGTTGGTGTAAAAAATTCTGCCTCGAAAAGTATTCGACCGAGAGAATTTTCACGGTGCACGAAAGACATCGAACGGAAGAATTTCCGTATCACGAGTGGAAGGGTGGAGGAGGTAAGCGAGCAGGGACGTCTTCCGGAATTTACGCGCTCATAAAAATCAAGAACCGTCGGCTCTCTCGCACCGAGGTTGTCCTTTTCGTCTTTATTTTCCAGGGAAACCCAGCCAACGTGGCACCACGGTTACGTCTGCCATCCGAATGCATTCTACGTTTCTCTCTGACCGTCGTTTCCGGTGTACGTACACTGATATAAACCCTGCATCGAGACAGAGGGAAGCCCGTTCCTGTTGGTACGTGGTTTTCAGAATATCTGGTCAAAGATTCAGTTCGGCTTGCCAGTAGAGATTCCGTGTTCTCAATTTTTCAGGAGAGAAAATAGAACAGAAGCAAGGAAGTCGAAACTGAGAGCCCCTGAGGTTTAAGACGCCATTACACCCCTGGCGCTGTCGGCCGACGCCCCTAAAACTATATTAAACTCCCGGAAATCTTGCGAGGGTCCTTTCTCTCTCTCCTTCGCTAATTCCCTCCCTTCTTTCCATCTGCCTGCCCTCGTAGACGCTGCCCACTGGAAACAACCCCCTCCGTAATCCTTCAACCCTCTACACAAGAGGAACTCTCGAGAGCGGAAAACCAAGACGGCAGTTTGATCGTTTCCACTGCTGGGACGACCGAGTTTTTCCGATCGTTTTATCTTGACGAGTTTATATCTTAGGATAGAGGTTCATTGAGAAGATTTTCTAACGTCATTTTCTATTTTAGTATTTTGATTCAAATTCCATTCATTTTTAATCCCTAACTGGCTCGTCATATAATATTCGACAGAATGCACGTTTAATAAGTTAGCTCTTCACTTAGAAGGATAATTGAAATACACCTGTTTTCTATTGAATGCCCATTAATAAACTTGAAGTAGGTAAAGTGTTAATTAGATAAATGGGGAAATTTTGCAAGCAGATTAAAATACCCAAATTCGGCACAAATCTAATTGCAGGGCTAATACAAAATTAATAAATGAATTTAGAATTGACAGTAGTAAAGTCAATAATTATATGAGGAACCAGATATCATGTACCCATTAAAACTTTTTGATCAATTTTTTATTTTGGAAATGTTGAAACGTAAAATCGATCCACGAGGATAAATTTTACTAATAGCCCTGTTTAAATTTCAGGAGAGGGAAAGGTGAGTGAAAAAGAGAGACGAAGGTGAGCCGGACTCTGGCTGAGGCATTGATTTCCTCTCGTCTTCATCGACCACGTTCCGACCCTCTGGGGGCGTCCCTACCCTCGAACAGAAATCCTCGCGAGAGAAAGAGAAAATCGAAGGAAAGTACCGTATCTCATATTTCATATCGGGAGGGGCAGCATGGATTTTCTTTTCGCTCGTCTGCAAAGCTTCGAGTAAGCGTTATCCGCCGACGTCAAGCGGATCTTTCCTAGCGAGCTTCTGTCACATGAAACAGGAAAAAGAATCCAGGTGCTTTCAGTCAGAATCCTCGGCTGTGTTTTGCCTTCATCGAACAGTAAGATTTCTTCGAAGAACATCAAACCGGATTTTACCAGACTATTTTAAAAATAAGCGGTAATTAGAAGAATTGACTAATTGAGCTTAGCTGCTAAAATTAACCATTCTTTGATTCAACTGGCAACTAAAACTAGCTGAAACCAGTTGCAGTATACACATTCCATAATTTCCCGCATTTCGAGCGTCAATTTTACGTGAAACAGCTATAATTAATTCTAATATCATTTTTAGTTTATCAAGAAAAGCATCCCCGACATTTTGAATTTTCTTCCATCCCCGTGCAGCTCTACAACTCGACACGGTATTCAGTCAACGACTGTTACCAGTCCCATGGGGTCCGGGCTGATCCAACAACGCGGTTGTATTTACTATTTCACGCGTACACCGGTACCCATGGTATCCGGCAATAGCAACACGAGAGTTGTGTCGTCGACACAACTACAACGTTTTACATGCCGTACACGAACGGCACCGGCTACATCGTTTGCACGAACAATAGGGTTACGGGGGTGGCTAGCGAGGGGGTGGGTACAGGGCACCAATGACAAGAGCACAGACCTGGGAATTTGCGGCGGTCCAGCTGCAACTGGAAATGTTTTGCAGACTACTAATATTCCGCCCTGGCACGACGAAATGCCTGGTAAACATGAAAAAATCGTTCGAGTTGCAGCTTTTCCGGGGATGAAAAATATCGCTGGTTCGAGAGCCGTTCGTGATGCGTTTTAATGCTGGAAATGCATCGTTGGATGGAGGTGTAAAAATGAAAGGGGTAAATATTTTTGTTGTGAAAATTTTCCTTTTGTACGAATGAATTCAATCGACTCTTTCATACATATTTGTGATACAGTGTTAATCCAATATAATAATATATTATAATGTAGGCGATTAACACTATATTGCAGAATATTGTCTATCCATGATTACTAGTTATTTTATCGCGATAATTGAAGAAGGGAGAAAGCTGTAGGAAGGAAGAAACACGATACTGGAGTTAAGTCTGTTAGCTCCTTAGTGCTTTCGGTGTACCGCAGGGATCCGTAGTAATAATCCTCTCCCGAACGATCACGGCGGATGTACAGCTATTAAATTATTACGGCGTCGATCAACATTAGGAATCGTGACAAATCCGATCTTCCATAATCGCGTGAAGCCTCATCTTTGAACGGTCCTCGATGTACACGCACCTTAATTGACAATTGTGACTCACAAACGACTTTCTTCTTATCCGACTATTGAGATTGCTCGGACAGAGAGGCCATTAGTAAGAAATCCCTTATCGAACGTGAATTATATACGGATACTAAAATTGCTCGAAGAAATCGGATCGCCTATGACAGATAAAGTAAATAGGATTTCCTTCGATAGACGGATAAAGATAAGGGAAATCATGACTTTTAAACCTTTAATCTGAAATTCGATTCAATTAGTGCGTGTATCGGATCGAGTGAAAAAAAAGGAAAAAATTCGCATCTTAAGATAAAGTTGGAAGATATAGAATTCAAGTGTGATCGAGTTTCTTGCGTTTAAGTACTAAGAAAATAATTGAATGATATTTGTTCAACCCTTCGCGAACCATAATAATTTTTAAGGTAAAATTAACTCCACATGGTTCAGAATGTGACTTTTATTCACCTGATTCGCGGGGGATTAATTTTGCCCAAAAAGAAGATTGCACCCCTTTTTCTTTTCATCAGTCTTCATCGCTATGAAGCATCCGCATATAAATGCATCGATGCAACGCTCGTATTCCGGGCGCAGTTAATTTCAACCCTGTAGGCAGGGGGTGTTGGAGGTTCGGGAGGGTGGTTACGCGGATAGGCGGAGGAGCGAAAAAGGAGGATGCAGAGGGATGAGCGGCGAGATATGGCGGGTCAGGTGGAAGGGGTTGACGTGTTTCTGGCATGTCGATAACCCTGGAAATTTAATCATGCCGCTTCACTATGAACACTATGCGCCACTCACCGCTATATGGATGATGCCTTGCTTCCGTGGAACGTTATACCGGCGAATTTGCATGTTTAATGCCGTATCGGTTGCTTATGCCGCATCTCACTGACGTGACATTAAATAGAACATCGTCTAACGAATGCACCATGGGAGATGAAGTTTACTCTTAGATCTAGAATATCTAAGAAACTATTTTTGATGGATGCATCGTTGAAAGCCTCTTCGAAGTTAATTTTGGAATATCCTCAGACATCTTTGAATAAAAACCTGCGTCAACCCTGAACTAGCTACTCCATTTTAACAGTGGAAGAGATACATCGACTAACGAGCCGTAAATACGAAAACGGGACAAAAGATGAGAAGCTGAAGGGAGACAGAGACGAGGAGGCATGTCGCGAAGTTTAAACAGCTTAGAGGGATGTTGCGGCGCCCCCGATGCTTGGGGCGCCAAGTCAGCCGGAAACCTCTAATAGCCTCGTCTCGTCCCCGTACAAAGGAGTGGGACGAAGAATGAACGGACGAGGAGAGAGTTAACAACTGGATGGTGAACGTGGCCGCAAAGGTGGCTGTATATGTTGCACGCTTGTATCTCGCCGGGTATACGATAACCGCACCCTCGAGGTGAGTTTGAGGGAGACGTTCGGCCAGGTATCCTACATTAAAGCCACCGCTAAATTCATAATACCGTCGGCGAAACGCGTCCGTATCTCTTTCATGTTTATAGAGTTGTCCCGTTTAGTTGCGGTACCCATTCCTCGGACCGCAAACCAGAAAACAAGACCTCCGCTTCTCTTTCGTGTCGGAAAAAGAAGAATTCCGATGTTTTACAGTGACTACATTGAAATTAGCTCTATCTCTGAACGATGATTTAAGACCAACGTGATTGCAAACTATATCTCTTTGCAAATGAAACTTCTAGCATCTTCAGGAACATAAACAGAGAACCTATATAGGTCTGTCTACGTGATGAGATCGAAAAGTGTACAGACGGTAGCGACCCCTTCTGATCTTCATCCCTCTATCAGCTTTGCTTTGCGCCGTCGGTGGACAGGTTGTGTTTATTATGAAAACATCGGGACCACTGTTGTGCTGTTCGATCGCACAGCAGGCGTGTGTGTTTAAGTGCGCATACAGGCTGCAACTTGATTCTCTCGATGGCAAAAAGACGTGGGCTTTGATCGATAACATTTCTCTGTAATCACATATGGGCTTCACGAAATTTGCTAGGATATACACTTTTCAAATCCCTTCGCGAGAAACAAGAGATAGGAATTTCATTTTTTTAATGAGAATTGAATGGACAAACTTTTCCGAAATCGTCACATCCGTCCAGTCCACTTAATCGCAGGAACTTGAAACAGCAATATTTTCTCGTGGCTGGACGGTGGATCATCAGAAATAGATAAGTCCAATGTTTTCTCATCGAGAAGTGCAGAGAGCGTGTGCGGCCACTTGTCGGTCCTGTCACCGTTCGTCCAGACCGGCAATCGGCTCGTCAACCCCTTGGCGGCCACCCTAGACCCATGCACTTGACTCGTCGACGGGGGGGGTGGTGGTCCAGAACGCACCCTAAAAGGCGCACCTAACAGCGAAGGTAACGCGTTCCACCCCTCGTAGCTATTCCGGCTGCTGGCTCGCGCACGAACAATATTTGCAGAGCTCTTATTCCGGCACTTCCCAAGCCTGTGTGAGCGCAGCTTCAACCACCCTCCCCCTCCGTGCGAACCGAGCCCCCGTTTTCTCTTGCCGCCCCTCGTGTGCACCAGCAACCACCTACCTACCTACCTAATAATGATTTTACGTTACGCCATGCCGGTCCCCTGGGAATCCGACGGTGCCGCACCCTTATTGCACATGGCCCGTGCTCACCGAGACCAAGGGTATACGCAAAACGAGGGGGTGGCTGGAAAAAGAGGACTGATTATCATTAGCAACAGAGGTCCCAGAACACCCTCGGTTTACTGCTTGACGCACGTACGCACGCCAACCTCGAGGTCATGAAAGGGACCTTCTTTCAGGGGTGGTAGAGAGGGGTAAGGAAACGTACTGCATGATTGAGGATTTTAATTGAACCGAGTGATAGTCTTCGGGTTTTCTGAGAAAGTGAAGGTCATTCTTATTTCAGAGGAAGAACCTAGTCGTGAGGCATCGAATGGTGGAGCCTTTCAGCCTCTCCGAATTTTTCATCCCTCTGAATAATGAATTAAATGTTCCATGGCGACCCTCGAAGAGGTGATGCGTGAAGGTGGACTACGAAAGCGCGTAGACAACGCGGTAGGTCCCACAGGGTTGTTAGAAAGCTGTAGGAAATGACCGTCTCTTTGTATCCTCTTTCGACGAGTCCTTCTTCGGTTGTTTCATCGAAACGAGGGTGAATGAGAGAGGCAGTCGAGTCGGAACGACAAGAAACAGGAGGAGGAGGAGCATGGGGGAGGACAAGGTGATAATTTGATAAGATATTGGGAGGGTTGCCATGGAGACGATACAAAACCCAGACCCCTGACTGGAACACTCCTTCGGCTGTTCCTCTAACTCGCTTCCACCCTTGGAAGAAGCTACTCCTTCAGGAGCGTCGCTCCATCAACCGAGACACCCAAGTGTCAAGTGTCCCAACACCATCGTCCGCTCACCTATGGGTACCTAAGGGATGTTGATCCCTTGAACAGGGCTGATCTTCGACTTTCCACGAAGATACGAGCTGTCGATGGGCAAGGGGATGGAAAACGTTTCCATCGATGTAGCTTTTGTACATTGTTGAAGTAGCCGGGTACTCGAAATTTCGAGTACCTCTGTACCCCCCTAGAGTACATTTTTATTCGTTCGAATCACAGCTAAGAGTTTTCTGAGACCATAATTCAAAAACGATCGCAAAGTGTAATCACAGACCGGGCAATTCAAGTAGCAAATAGAAATCCATATCCATGACATATTTATAGTCCATGGGGCCAGAAGGAGCTGTCCACATTTCCCACGGACAATTTTCGTCATAGAAAAATTCCATTCGTAGATTGGCCGTCCACTGTGTCATTCTACCTCGTGAGAACGAGAGAAGCATCGAACGAAAGAAGATGAAACGATAGGCACCCCGAAAGACATTACGATTATTACCGAGTGAAGCTCGCAATGAGGGGCTCGCCACCCCTAAAATGCACTGGCCACATGTGGCCTCGATCCGAATGGGATCCTCTTGCTTACGACAAGACTCCGTCCAGACGGTTAACTGCATTATTTATCGTACGAAGTTGCTCTGCTAATTGATCCCTGACGTCCCTGCTGCGATCAACTCAAACGTGGAATTTTCGTACACGAATTCTGAACGAATATAATTTTCCTATAGCTCAATTATCGAATATTTTCCTCGATATTTAGTGTGCAATGAATTTTAAAAAATTTGTTCAAATTTCTCCACTTTTTGTTCTTTGGAATTAATCGATTTGGCAAATAATGGTTCATATATTGATCGAGTATTATAAATTCTTCATTTAAATACACTTACCAGTGTGTATGTAGGTGTGCTTCTTCATGTCACTCTTCTGGTGGAATCTCTTTCCGCAGAATTGACAGGGGTACGGTCTGGTGTCGGAATGGATTAAAAGATGAGTACTCAGTGTACTGGAACGTTTAAACGCTTTTCCGCACTGCTTACACTCGAACACCTTTTCCGCGGAGTGTACAGCCCTGTGTTGAGTGAGGCTGATCTCATGGCCGAACGTTTTATTGCACAGCTCGCAGGCAAAGGGTCTCTTGCCGTTGTGGGATCTCCTTGCGTGCACCTATAAATAAAAAAAAATACCACGTTCTTCACATCACATCTAATCACCAGTGACCTCCACATTAATCAACCTTTTCCATATTCTTTACAATTCCTCTAAGAAATCTGATCTAATGAAACCTACCTCGAGTCCATGAGGCGTGCTGAACATCTTGTCGCACTTGACACAGCTGTACACATCGCCGAGCGGATGATGATGAAGGCCGTGGGCGGTGTGGGTCGTGTGGAGACCAGGATGACCCGGGTGGACTCCGCGCAGCAGTGGGTGCAGGTGCGGCGGTAACAAATGATGAGGCAGGAGCTGGGGATGCAAGTACGACAGAGGGTGATGAGGATGAGGAGGTAAGAGTCCACCCTGAAGATGAAGAGGTGGGTACAGTATGGAGGAGCCAGGTGGAGGGGGATGTGCTCCGATGGAGGTGTCCCTGTGAGGAGAGGTGTTCTGCAGATGAGCAGACGGAGGATCCGGCCTCAAAAGAGCTGAAACGCTGAAAGTGTCTCCGGATTTCTTCGGGGGGTTCGAAGCCGGGGACGTCGCGACGCTGTTAGGCGACGGCGTCGTCGACGATCGCGGAGGACTCGACGCCTCGCGATCATCCTCGTCACCCACTTCCTCGACGTCCACATCCACTTCCTCGTCTTCGACATCCACGTCCACCTCGCCGTCTCGACGATCCGACGGTGGAGAGTCCGGACAAGGAGAGTGCGACGGCGAGGGACTCCTGGTCGCTGGAGACCCCACCAGACGACCCACTCCAAAAGACAGTCGTTCTGGAATGAAAATTTTGTTCGATGCCTTTTTAATCCCATTTAAATCCCATTTCTATCGACGAGTGACAAGGATCCTGAGTCACGTATACAGCTGGAATATAAGACGAACGATGCAGGGGAATCTGGGAAAAACGACGACCACGGTTAAATTCGGTTTCCCGAAGAAGCTGATGGAATGAGATTTGAGTCACGTACCGGGTCCTTTTTTCCCCATCGACCCGGAGGTAGGCTAGGGGTTAACGAGACCGGGAAAAATCGAAGCACACCGGATCCACCTAGAAAACCCCTTTTCAAGATACTTCCTTTAATTTGTTCTCTAAACACGGGTCCAAGTTCCTCGATCAACTGAATTGGGCAGGTTTCGATTTGAGAATTGATCGAACAATAAGAAACAAAAAGGTTTCATTAAGTATACTTATGATCGCAGTGATAAGGCGATAAGAAGTGTTTAAATCGTATAAATAGTCGTATAACGTGAGCGATCGATCATCGAATCGATAATATCTGAAATGTATCGATACTTCCAATCGAAATTGAGGATCATCGAGTCTCGGTACTTAAGACTCTCGTATCGGGCCTGGTATTTCTAATAATCGAGAACGATCACGAGCGGCAGTGATTTACGATGTCGGTGGGTCGGAAAATCGGTTCTGGTTAGAGGAGAAAAAGAGGGGTGTTTCCGTATTCTTCAGGGGGCGAATATCAATCCAACAGACTGTACACCGGGTATATTATATTTATAATCCGTGCGCGTGACACGTGGTCACGTGCCTGGGTATATAATGCACCGGTGCTGGTTAATCGCATTTAAAGCTCTCCACCATCATCCCCGGGAAGGGCCGATTATTATCGCGTCTCCTGGTGGCTTTGCAATCGAATCAAAATACGCCTGAAGTCTCGGTAGAGTGGCCTAATGTAATGAGAAACGTCGAGACGATGAAAAAAGGAAACAGGAAACGGCAGACGTAATATAGGGGTGGGTTTTTTTTCTTTTTTTCTTTTTTTTTTTTTTTTTATTATGTAAATCTAGGACGAACGATGAAATTATCAAATTCACGAACGTGTTGCTCTGTAAAAATGTACACTGATAAAAAGAAAGATTCAGTGACGAAGGGGAAGAATAGTCGTGAAAGCAAAAGATAGACTGCGGGAGCGAGCAAAAGTGAAAGAAAAGGGTAAGAGGAAGTCCGGACAGATGTGACTCGAAACAAGATAGGAAGAACTGCTTACGCAAATGCCATGTCTGGCTCTGTTGGAATGCGGTAAAAACCGACGGTGCAAACTGGCGAGAAAAACCGTCATCATCGTGCCAACCGTCCAACAGATGGGTTACTTTGGTCCGGGTGTTTGGCGGAGCTTGCACGCGTATTCGCGTGAATGTACATCTGGAGTCTCCTAGAAGAGTCGGATACAAGGGACGCCGTAAGAAACTCTTTGAAATAATTTTTCAATATTTTGATTTTAAATCGAAATTCTTATGTTTTAGTTGGGAGCAAGATTCGCCTGAACGTTGCAAGATAATTTACAGAGACGCGACGATGGATCCGCAAGTGGCATCAAGAAGGAGGATCGTGACAAGGGATGACAATGATGGCGATGCCGAAGATGCTTGTGGACATGGATTAATAAAGGAAGGCCAAGCCGGGGGAACAATTAGATCGAGTTAACGGGCAACTTTAATCTTCTGTCGTCCGTCAGTCGTTTACTGCGTAGCGATCTGCCGCTATTAAAGCCGTTACACGCTTCACCGTTTCAAAGCCCCCTTTTCCCTCCTCGTTGCACCAGAAACTACGACTTTCGATCGAAACGATGGAACGATGTGGGTTTCCAGAAACGAATTTCTCATTCTCGTCGCTACTTATTTAACGAGACCCTCTGATTTCAGGATTAGATAAGAGACGCGAGAATCTGCTGGTCCAAAATCTGATTCTGACATGGGATGAAAGATGGTAAATTGTCAAAGGCATAGACAGAGAAATTAATTTGAAGAAATCTGGAAAGATTTTAATGATTTTAAATAATATTAGAAAAAATGTGTAGGTCTATGGTAGACCTAAATTAGAATTTAAACAATCTTTCTCTAATTTTTTCAACAGTTCCTATCAACAAATGCAAGAAATGAAAAAAGACGCTAGCGTCTCGAGACGATCCTAGACGTCTGTATAGGTGTATGTCGCGACAAATGAATGGCCACGTGCAGCAAGAAGGAGTCGGAAGAGACCAAGTTATATGCACGAGCGTTTAACATGACAAGATGCTACTAATTCAGGGTAGGTAGAACTGAGAGGCCGACCATCGTACGAGTACAAAGGGGCCGACGGTCCGAATCCCTGTACAGCGCCTCTAATCTGCTCCAATTGGAACGACAGGAGTTAGAAGGGCCGATGTCCCTCCACGGTATAACGCGTGCTACCATTTATCCCAATCATCGGACGACCGGTCGTTCTTAACGATCGACAAATAAAAACTACTCGTCATCCGGGCTGAGGAGGAAGCGAAACGGGGCAACAAGCCGACCATCTACACCTTCCTCGGAACAAAGTCGGAGTGGACTTTGTCGCATTAAAACGTCATTAGGTAAAGGAGAATTTTTAATTCCCTCGATTCTATTGCTTCTTGGAATATTTTTTAAACCAACCATAGAAATGGAATTTTTTTGGTTCGTTTAAAGGAATGTTTCTTATTTGTGATATCGATGGATCAAACGAGAAATAACTGGTTTATTATTCAATACAGCTGCGTAAATTTGGCGATAATTTTGATTTATTTCACACGATTGTGACATGTGTTAGCTACTCTAAGATTGATCGAACGAAGGTATTCTTTGGCTGGATTTTATGCTGATACCTTTCTTTACGTTAGATTACATTGAATCCGTATTATTGTTGTTATTTAAAAAGTCGATAATCTCTATCCCTCATTGCTGTTGTAAACCGTGTTGCGAAATCAGGAAGCTTTAAACTTCTTATCAATGTAGTAGTGACACGATGATCTAGCTTAAAATTGATCGAACATCGATCGTAATCTCAGAGGATTTCGAACAGATTAAACCCGAATTAATATTGTTTTTATTTGCCAGCCAATAATCATCGTCTTCTGCCGCTAAAAATAAATACACAATTCTCGAAGACCAATCAGAAATAATTTCAGAATATTTACCTGAATGACTTTTGGGGAGGGGTGGCAGACTGGTGACCTCGGTAGGGTTTCCAAAGGGGGCCCACAGTCTGGGGAACATTAAACGAACGTTGCAACCACCTGAAAACAAAAGCAATGTTACGTGAAATCCTGGCGAAAATATGAAGGATCGAGTAATATTTTCGAATCGTTCAAGCATCATTGTCTCAGGAGCCGCTAACGGAGAAGCAACGTCTGGGGGTAGGGGGGCTGACAAATTTCGTATTCCCGGGCCGTACAAAAGATCAACCCCTCGACAAGAGCGTCTTTATTAGAAAGGAGGGAGACCGTTCTCTATTTATCAACCTTGCCCCGGCCATTACTCGCTCTCTTTTCTCCGTGGCTGCATTCCAATCCACGAACGGCCGCCATTCGTTTTGCTCGACTCTTTGATCGCCGTTTGGTAGCTAGCTGGAATTTGAACTTTCCGCGAAATCTAGAGTCTTTTATATTCGAATTTCCTTCTGTCACGACCCTTCGATTCAACCCTTCCATGATTTTTTTCAAAATCAAACCCACCACCTTGGCAATCGTTCTAAATTAAATTTCTTTTTTTAATAAACTGGAGATCGCAAGGAGCGTATCGAGGAGCGAAAAAAAGAATGCGGGGTAAAAATGAAAGAATGAAATCCGTAATCCGGGCAATATAGAGGACCGACCGGGATAATCTGAGATAGCGCACGGAGATTAGCGCGCCACGCCGCAAAGGCTATCTCATTCTCGCAGGATTATCAGAAATAAATCATATTTTCCTATAAAGCGAGCACACTCCAAGATAAGATGTCCGCGCGCGGTTTAGGTAGAACCAACCATCGATACCGAGTGTGTACACACCAGGTAATGCGTGTTTGTTACCCGTGAACAACACCGTCCACGATGATATCGGCATTTGTTCGTTTCGTTCAGTTTAACCTGCGTGTCGCTCGTAAATCTATACAAAGATAAATCCTATGACGCGTGATTTTTTAAGGACCATTTTAGGGGATGATTGACCCCCATTATCTGCTTGAAATCACAATCTAGGTCTGTTATTAAACCTACCAGGTGGAATGATAAATATTTCTTTATCTTTCGCTGTAACTATCAGTAATTGCTCATTATTAAGTAGGGAACTGATTAGAGTTATCTGTCTGTAACCTAAAGTGAATATATTAATTGTTGACTTTAACCCTTTGCTAATTTTTAAATATTAAAATTTCATATGATTTTCCTTAGGTCTTCTCATCCTCCATCACCGGCAGATAACCCCTTCAAGGCCCAAGAAGAGACAACAAATACCCCGACCCTAAGGAAACAACCCTCTTCTGCCTATCACCTGGCAATTATCGCTTAAACCGTTTTAGGTCGATTCCTACACGCTGTTTGGTTGATATTATTGCGTTAGCTATTAGGTCGATTAGCAGTATTAGTATAGGCAGCCATCTAATGCTTCGTCCGTTCCCCTCTCACCTGTTGAACGATCGCTGTTGTACTCCCTTTACGCACCTGCACACACACCCTTGCCATGCATTTCAACATGCTGAACCAATGACAATGGACAGGACGTGTGCAACACAATGGGTACATATACAAGCGTGCAGGGTGCAGATAGCTCAGGTGTCGGCGGGAATTCAAGGGCGTAAACGGCGCGTTGCAGAGATAATAGGCAGGTAATAGATAGCATGATGACAGGCGACAACGGGATGAATGTCAGGGGTGAGATGCGAAGCCGCGCGAGGGATGCAGAAACGATCGGGGAACGGGTTTCACGCCGGTCGAGGGAAATGTAATTCTGCGGCCTGCTCGTTCTCTCCGTTTGATTCTCCATTCTGTGATACTCGGAATCATTTATCAGCGCGTTTTGTCATTTCATAATTTTATTTTTTATCATTTCAACTAATTAAATTTCTTTTTAGAGTATCACAAATTTTTGGCTTACAAAAAAAATGCAACAAAGTGCATATAATTTTTAGATAATTGTCACAGTTAGATGATAAAATGATTTACTTTAGATGACAGATCAATGATAAAGAGAATCATAGAGCGAAATTTGAATTTGACAGAATTGAATAGCAATGCCACTGCGATTTGCGACCACACGATGATTCAAATTCAATTTGACAATGATTTGGAATGCAATTATGATATTCCATCAGTGGTTGCCTAATGATTATCTTTAGCATTAAACATAAAAATTAAATTTAAATTGTCATTATTTCAGGGGTGAAAGATGAATTGAAAATATGATTTATCCGATCCTACCTTCGGTGTCAACGGGAACCTGCGGACTCTCCTGAAGATTCTCGTTGTTATTCGTTTCCGGCGACAAGGCCTGCTGGTGCACCAACGAGGATGCCGTCTGTTTCGGCTTGACAACGCGAAAAGCTGACGCTTCCGCGACACCCCTGCGCGAAAAGTCCAGAGGACCCACCCCTACAGGCGAGTGTTGCTGCTGCACTTCCATCATCCTGCTCCGACAGTTCGATATCACTTACAACAATTCTACCCTCACTGTGCACGACATCCGCTCCCTTTCAGGTTCAACGAGCGTTTTTCACCACCGTACTATCACCATCCCCTTTTTACAATAACATGAAGCACTGCCTCCAGAAATCATCCCCTTTCCCACGAAGGTTACAATCTAAACCTTTTTATCCTTAATTATCAATGGATTCTTCAACCCGTTCGCAACCCTCGTTCAAATCACCCACCCTTGAATCTCTCGGTACGAGCGACGACGTCGATCAAAGACGACGATTGTTCGTTGGAGAACGATACGCGAAACGATGTTCCAGCTTACGAGGACACTGATTTCCGTGCCGTCCATCGGCCAGACAGGTCAGGAACGAGGAGCACCGGCACCCGGGGATGCGAGAGACGTTATAGCGGGTGCCTCGACGCCGACTGCTGTTAACGGGTCTGATAGTGGAGGAACTCCCATGCGATGACGGACGAAAGTCGCGAGTTAGACTGAGAGAAAGAAGGGGGGGAACGCACACACCAGCCTCGATCTTCTCTGTTCAGCAACGAGAAAGAGCGCGGACCAAGAAGAAAGAGGGAGCGAGAAGGATCGAGCAGGAACACCCACACAGATGTTGGATGCATGCCGGGATTTTCGATGGAGACTCCGCCTCCACGGCACGCCTCCTTCGTCCCTACTCCACCCCCACGAAACCACTCACCATGGCCCTGATGTCACAGACCGACACACGCTTTGGATACCCACCACCACCACCATAGGGTTCGCTCTCTCGGTACGTTGATGCTATCGCATGTTACCAACACACCGAGGTGGCTAGTGAGTATGTTTATTCGTTTGCCAGTGATGTGGGTGCTGTTTAACTGGTAGTGTACGTGTGGCTGGTAGGTACAGCGAATGGACACGAGACACGGTGTGTGCCACGCTCTCTCACCTCCGGTTGCAGCATTATGTGGAACCACTCGGCCACTCTGATTCCACTCTTGACTCTACTGATTGATATTTGTGCGCCCGTTCCTACACGCCCGGAAGTAAATGCGTCGTAGACGTATTTCCTTTTGGGCTTGGGGTGGATTGAGGAGAAGGAAAGATTGGGGGTGTGATTAATCCTTTGAATAATGAACTCATGGTCTCTGACACGTCATATATTTATTGTTGTAAGAATGATATTTAGGAGGCTGCTTATCAATTTTTGGTCATGAAACTAAGTGCATATAGTGATTATTAAAATTGATGAAGTGATTATAAGATAACATTCACACAATAAGCATTGTTCCTACATTTGAAGCTTCGATATAAGCTTTAGGGATCAGGCGTTCAAAATGTTTCTACGTTAGGGATGTAATCAGTCATGATTATTTTGGATTCTCCATCGTCTAAAAGATAATTTGCAAAATTTCTGCAGATTAATAAATATTGAAATCCATTTCAATATATCAAAACTTAGGGTTTTCTTATTTCGGTCGTATATTATCGGTGCTTAAATTGCATCAAGGTGTGAAAGGCGTCAATCACACCGCATTAAATTTCTGGCTGACTCGGCAAAACGAGAAAATAAGCTAAGAACGAGATAATATATCGATGATTAGAGGATTTCCAGTACATGGACTTCTACGAAAAGGGATTTGTCAAAGTTTTTTTGTCGATCTGTTGCAAAATCTTTCAAGATTTTCGTCGTATTACGACGTACCATTTCCATTTGACAACTTGAATCGAACTGCAATGCTCATCCATCTAACGCAATCCATTGCAGCTTAAGCGATTATGACGACGTTCGTCGTTTATTGCACCCGATGTTCTTTCGCGGAACAAATTATCGCTGGTGAAGAATTTTCCATGCTTGGTTTTTCTTTCTTCAATAAACATCTATCCTAGATGAGATTTCAACGATTGTATCAGGAATTTTTATTCTGCTTACCAAATAAAAAATTGCATCACTTTATTTGTGAATCATGGTCTTGAGAAATTTTTATCAAGATAATTAACAAGCCCGAAAATCTCATCGTTAATGAATCTAATCTATGATTCTTAAAACGCAAAAATCAAGAGCCAACTAAACAGGGGTCCACTTAATTATAATTTCGGCCTCTCGTGTCGCTCATCCTCCCTTAAAAATTTAAATCATACTAAAACATTCTTCTATGAAGAAAATATGCGGCAAATGAAGGAAGTGTCATCAGGGGTGTACCTAGACGTGGGAGAAGTACGAGGCAGAAGATGTTAAGTGTCAAGGAAGAACGACAAATCGCATCGATCATACTTACTCACCGGCATCGTCGTGTACGTTTTCCCTGAAGTATCCGAGGGTGTCCCAGGGCAGTTCTATCTTCGCGAGGAAATTGCTTACCCTCTTACCACGAAAATAGGAAAACTCTTGGCTGCTGACGAGCTGATGCGAACGAATGATTCCCTCTCAACCTAGAGTAAGAGGAATCAGGCGAAATACAAAGATAAAATGCGGACAGGTACCGAGTGTCTTTAAGGAAATTACAATGTTTTCGTGAGTACGTGTCGTACAAAGTTCCCAATAAATCTAAAATCACATTAAACACCGATCGTTTTCAAGATACTTTATCAGTTTTCTTGTTCATCGGTTTGTTCAATATCGAACCTGGCAGAGTTTGTTTGCACAAGTATATACCGGACGTGATTTACAAGCCTGTAAGATAACTTAATCCATCAGCACACAAATGGACATTCACGAACGTTGTAGCGAGCCTTAAGCGCGTCTCACACCGTCCACGATCAATCGTGTCAAGTATTGTGTACAGATAGGCAGCCTTCGATTCGTGACACTCGAAACTGAATTTACAAAAATGATTTAAAACGAAACCTAAGCCAGATTAGTTTCATGTTGGCAAATAGTTGTACCTTGTAGTTGATACATGGTTATCTGGTGTAACCTACTTATCTGTGTGATGGACTCTGAAGAAAATTAACAGAGGATTATGATAAGGATTGTAGTTTTATTTTATTTATTTATTTTATGTTGCATCAATAGGTAAGATTATTAGCGATATACAATGTATAGGAAGGCTATAACTTTGCAAATTTTTCACCAAGTGGACCAAGTGGGCTCTTTGAAATGTAGGTTGGTTCCTTCACCATTCTAAAATTTTAAGGCTCAAAAATTTTTGAATTCTAAAGTCTTAAAACTTTGACTTGGAACTTGACCCACTCCAGAAGAGGTTCCTAGTTACGACAATGGCCAAATCGCGAATCTACCTTGACAAAGTAGTTCAATGCGCCGGATACAGGGGGACGAAGTGGCTGGCGCCACGAATTTAACACTTGATTGTCCCGTCGAACAATTGTTTCGCCGGTATTATAACTGGCTCGGTCTTTTCTCTCCACGAGTCAGACGAGAGGACATCGTCGAATGAGTCACTCACTCACGATCGAATAGAAACACGTATTAGCGATTGTCTTTACCAATTGGTGATGTGGGTGATGGTTATCACCGACGAACAAACTTATGGACACGTGAAACGATACACGGCGATATTACTTGGATGGTGAAGAAACCGGCTACCACACGCTGGCATGTGGGCAGACGTGTGCACACATCGAAGGATTACGTATCAAAAACGCAGATGGACCCCTGCGGGTAGGCGAACGATCGTTTTATAGTAAGCTATCTGGAAACGGATACGTAATTGGAAAGAATTGGTCTAATTTAAACCGATTAATCCGGATCTTGACGAATCTTGAGTGACTCGTGCACAGAACGATCGGTGATTTTCTTCAATTATTTTGCTGCTGTTTCACGCAAAAATAGTAGTATAATTCTTTAAGAAGATTCGTTTAAACATATAAATAAATCTTTCAAATAGATTCACGGCTGAAATCTCGCACAGTTTACAAAAAAAAAATGATTTCGAAATTCGTGATCGTACCTGTTGATCAACGCTGCATAATATCGAGAAATAAAGTTAACCACATTACGAGGGCATTAACGCGCTCGATCACTTCCTCGAATCGTTATCGTTTATCTAATCTCCAGCGAGTACGGACCCGATTTAAATCCGCGAAGATCGATAGATCTTCGAGCAGATGAAGATCGATCAACACCAGAAAAATCACTCGTCAGAAGAAAACAGTGTTCATTTTAAATCATTATCTGCTAGTTCTCGGTACATAACTATAACACACAAAGAAGGGATTTGTTGTCGGTAAAAATCAGTCTGTATAACCCAGGCTCCTATCTTGAACGATTTAAGTTAACTTGAGTGGCGTGATACTGATTTGCAGATTGTTTGGTTTTATTCTTGAGGAGAATATCTAGGGTCTATTCACACGTGAACCGATATACCTGAAAATCCACTTAAATTTTTATTTCGAAAGCATAAATGTCAAAATAGTGAAAATATAGAAATGGTACCTGAGTATACCCCCATGAGGATTAAGAGGGTAGATTTACTCATCAGTTTCATACCAAGTAAACTTAACATTACCTACTAACGTCAATTATCGATGAAAAATGATATATTAACATAGAAAAATTTATATGTATCATATTAAAATCACCATTCCACTTCCTAGAAGCAGAAGGGCATAAAGTCGCGGGTTGATTCTCGATTAGATTTTCATTGAAAGAGGCTTTTCCCGACTCCCGTATGATGGGAGCTGGCATATGGTGTACCATGGTGCACAGTTTCCAGCACAAGAGAGAGGAGAACGAGAAGCGAGAGAGAAGGGAACGTTTAACGCGGGACAAACGAGCGTGACCAGGGTCGGGGCCCCGTCGTACACGGGGACTTTCATGGTAAATTTCTACGGGCTATGTAATCCCCCATAATGTACAGACATATGCACCGACGAATACAGCCACCCTCGTGGATCCCCGTGGACTGATATTTAGGGACGATATTCATTAGCAGTTTCACGCCAACCTAGAGAGAAACAGAGAAGGTATCGTTAAATGAAAAGAGAGGGTGAACGTTGACCTGACTGACGTGCTCGATGATAACTGTTCAAAAGGGTACTTCGATACCCCATAAAGTCACTCCCCTGTACAGTGATCTATGGTTTCGTTTTGGCACGAAGCAGAGAGAATCCAGATTGAAAGCATTCGAATGGCAGTCTGTTAATCGGGGGGATCATAGAAATCATTTGAAAATGATTTATTCGAAGACATATTGAAATTGGTATTGTTTTACAAAAGTGAAGATTAGAAAAAAGTTCTCAAATAATTAACCCTCGGACCATGGAGAGAGCCCCAATTTTAATTCTTTTAAATTAATAATAAGTAAGTTTGGGTTTCAATTGACCCAGACTTCTCTATTCTTAATCCTTTCACGAATTTCATATTTTGTCCAATACGGTTCTTATAATCCAAAGAAGGGTTAATGATTTCGTCGCAAAGGATCTGAAACATTTCGACGGGGTGGTTGGGGCGACAGCGATTCACAATTGGCGATAAAGAGCGTTCCTCGTCCACTCCTAAAACTTCGGGATTACGTCAGTGGCTGAACGAGACAGACGAGAGAGGCATATCCGGTTGGCTTAGATTGACTTGGCGCCAAGCGCTGCGCGTACGACTGCCGGAATTAAATGATTATTGGGTTATACCACGACGGTCGGAACGAACCGAACAACGGCCAA